AGGTAGGTAAAATGTAAATAAAATATACCTACATTTCACCTAATTTCACACATATTTTTTCTTACAAGGTTCAAATCCCTTCCAAAATCTTTTAACCAAACACAGTGTATGAAGTGGTAAACTTGGGTCTTATTTTTGTTTTATTTAAATTTTAAGCATGAAAGAGAAATTAAAGAACACATTGCATAATATCGTCGAATATTACCTAGCAATTTTCTGAAGTTGAGAGATGGATTTGGGAAGCATATTACTTATCCTTACAAGGAAAAAACCCTATGGCTTCTAAATTTTTATCACAGATATGAAGACCTTAAAAAATTTTGGCAATTTTTTTTTTTTTTTTTTTTTGCAATTGACATGATAATTTTTATATATTCAACAAAAAAATATTTTCCGAATTTTTTTAATTTTTTTATGAGTTTTAATAAAATTTTGAGTTGCGTGTTTGGTTATGAATTGTAAGTTTTTGTATCAAATATCATAAGACACATCAAAAATTCCCCACTTTGGTCAATTAATATTTTAATCGCCAAATATGTCATTTCCTATAGTGATTGTCGGTGCTAGTGCTCCAAAGCAATTTTCTTCTTTTTATTGTGGTCAGTATTAGCTTGCACTACTAATCAAATTTGGTATTGTATCTAGAATAGTTTCTTATAAAACATATCATAACTAATCAAACATTCCATATTTGGTTAGAAGTATAGGTCCATTGCTATAAATCTTGACCTAGATCCTCCTAAAGCCCATGTGGTGATAGAGACGCCTTCACAACCTTTGTTGCTTATTATCAAGTTGTCATACTCACCACATATACTATTAACCTTTGATGTGTCTGGGAATTCAACTTAAGTGGTAGGTAATTAACATGAGATCAATAGGAGCAATTATCCAGCTTTGTTGGAGTTACTGATATGAGAATGTCATAAAAACATTTTGATTATTAATTTCTATGAGATCCATGTACATCCCATAAAATTAAGACTCAAGATGTACTATTTTGATTATTGATTTTTGTGAGATTCACGTAAAGGGTCAAGATATATTTGTAAAGGGTCAAGATATATTTGTGACATTGTCTAGTCTAATGTAGCCTTAATTGGATGAATGCTAGGTTTTCAATTACATGTTAGATTTATAACCTTTTTTTTTTTGGTCTTCATTTTCTAGATTATTTTATTTTAGTCTTTTAGCGAAATAGTATAAGAGAATTTTTTGAACCTAACATTGAATAGTGTTGCCCTCAAACTAATTTTTGGTTGGTGGTATTGTTGCATAAGCTCAGACATGATTTTCAATATTGAGGCTCGAAGCCTTATTTGCAGCTCTCACAGCACTAAAAACAACTTTTATGGAGAAGCCAAAAGATTTGCCATAGTAAAAAAAGATACAGACTACAAAAACTAGAAAATACTATACATATAATTGCAAAAGATAAATTATTTCAATAATCACAATTTATCTAAAATAAGAAAATCAAAAACTTGATACTCATCTAAATCAATGAAAGAGAAAGGGTTTGGTTGATCTAGAATATAGCATACAAAAACTAGTTGGATAATGGTGATGAAACTTGGTTGTACAAAAATGACAAATTTTTCTTTTGCAAATGTAACAAGAAAAAAGAAAAAGAAAAATGATTTTGGCAAAGCCATTTTACCTTTGATCATTGGAGTAGTTCTAATGAAATGACAATACTTCTACTTGCATAGAAATTAATTATAAAACCGGACACAATTTTTTTTTTTTTTTTTTTTGATCAGCCAGACACAATCTATTGTGCCTCACAAAAAGATAAATTCACCTTATATGAGAGGTTTATGTCTAGCCTTTTGATCGATTTATGTGTTTATTAGATCCTTTCATCAAGTGATTTTTGTGTGTGCTCCGATTTGGAGGGGTTTGTTTTGGCTTATGGTGTTTTTCCACTTTTAGGTTAGATTGGTTGTTCGGGTGTTTCTTCCATGCTGCTCTTTTTTATTTTTTATTTTAAGTAATGTCTTATTATCAATAAGAAAATATTACTTCTTTGCTGATTAAAAAAATGAAAAATAAAATCTCTCATTTTTTAATTATCTAAAATTCTCAAATTTCAAAGTAAAATGATTTTAACCTGAAATAGAGTTAATTTATCATTGCATCTTTACTTCACATCTTATATAAATTCATTCAATAATTAAAAAAATATCATGCCTATGTGAACAGTGATAGAGCCAATGGCCCTGTTTGGTAGAACTTATTTCCAGCTTATTTCAGCTTTTAGCTTAATTTAAGCTATTTTGATGTATTTGATTCAGCTTAACAATACAGCTTATAACTTTTTGTAAGTCAAAAATCAACTTATTCTTTGAGTGGGGGATGATAAGCTTAATTTATAAGTCAAAAATCAGCTTATGTTCACAATTATAAATTATAAATTGTTAGATTATAAGGTATAATTATTTTCTTCCAACTCTACCAAACGGGATCATTGACACCGGTCTATGAGAAGAAAATGTGACGCAATGTATCGATTTAGGTGGCCTACATGTTGGTCCAATCGTGGAGTTGTAATTGGTCTTTATTTTTAGGTTCGGTTTCTTTCACTCAAGTTCAAATCATGGACAGATCATCGAACGGTTTATTTGTATATTATTCGTAATTTTTTTAGATAATTATATTTTGTCTCTTTTATATTTAGGTAATTTTTTACTTTGGCCTTTCAAAATTATTTTTTTTCCACTCTACTCCTTTATGTTTTAAATTTTTTTCATTTTACTTTTAAAATTAATTTCTATTAAAAAATAAATAAAAAATAACACATTATTAGTCATATGATATAAAAATATTTTATTATATATAACTCACACTTCTAACATAAACTTAAACTCTAATATAATAATATATTTTTTATATTATGTGACAGTTATTATGTCATTTCCTGTCTAATTTTTAACAGAAATTAATTTTAGGAGTAAAGTGAAAGAAATTTGAAACATGAAGAGTTAAAGTGGGAAAAAACAAACTTGAAAGGCCAAAATGAAAAAGTGACTAAACATAAAAGAGGTAAAATATAATTTATAAAAAAAAATAGCATTTTTTTCTCTTGAAATTGGCCTTTCAAAATTATTTTTTTTCCACTCTAATCCTTCATGTTCCAAATTTTTTTCATTTTACTTTTAAAGTTAATTTCTGTTAAAAAATAAACAAAAAATAACACATTATTAGTCACATGATATAAAAATATTTTATTATATATAACTCACACTTCTAACATAAACTTAAACTCTAATATAATAATATATTTTTTATATTATGTGACAGTTATTGTGTTATTTTCTGTCTAATTTTTAACAGAAATTAGTTTTAGGAGTATAGTGAAAAAAATTTGAAACATGAAGAGTTAAAGTGGTAAAAAACAAACTTGAAAGGCCAAAATAAAAAAGTGACCAAACATGAAAGGGGTAAAATATAATTTATAAAAAAAAATTGCATTTTTTTCTCTTGAATTGTCAGATTTTTTAAAGTTTAAATTATAATCATATTTAAAATTTATTTCGGCGTTGTTTGACAATATGAATTCGTAGTTAAAAATTCAAAATGTCACTATAAATTATCACTTCACTGCTTTTATTTTTACATATATATTCCTAAAAAATTAAAAATTTAACTAAAATAATCAATTTCCAAAGGGGACCTCAATAAGCAAATAAAATAATTTAGTGAGTAAAACATATATGCATTATAAAAACCAAGTAATTTGGGCTTTGTTTGTAATTGATTTGTTAAAAATATATTTGAAATTAACTCGTCTATTTAACTAAATTGGATTTATTTGGTTTGCAAAAAATATAATAACATAAATATTAGTTATAGAATCAGATGTAACTCTTTTACATAGAAGTTATTATTTGTCAATAGATTATTTTAATTACAAATTTATTATAAATTATAACATTGTTCTCTTTATATTTTTGTATATTTTTTATAAAAAAATATTTAAATCATCAATAAAAAAATATTTAAAACTTATTAAAAAATATCTCACAAGGTAATCTACAATAATATGATAAAATATATATTAATTGTTAATTTATCATTATCTCTCTTACCACATAAATATTGATCAAAATCAGTATTTAGCGCACTACTCAGTACCTCCAATTTCACACATATAGCAGATAGTCAGGGAGAGATCAGGCGAGGAGTGAGGATACTCTTCTTGGCTTTTCACTTAGTAGGTCATTAGACTCAATTTTGAGTTTAATTTCGATAATTCAATTCATTTATATTTTAAAATTTATAATATATATTATATTTGTAAAAAATTAAATAAATTGAATATCAAAAATTACGTCGAACTAAAAGTTTTATTAAATAATAAAATTGTTTATTAAAATTTTTTAATAAATAATTTTTAATTTTTCTAATATTTAATTAATTTAATTTTTTATAAATATAATATACATGATAAATTTTAAAATATGAATAATTTAAATTATTAAAATTCAACCAAAAATAAGCCTAATAGGAAGGCAAGAAGAGAACGTAAGAGAGAATCCTTACTCAGTAGGAAATTGGTACACAGATTTATCCGTACCTCAAAATTTGGACCGTTGATCAACCAATCAACGCTTTCCAGTTTTCATTCCTTTGCTTTGCTTTCCTCACCCTCTCAACCTCAAACACACGCGTTGTGTCTCAGCACACCCACATTCCAGAAGTTTACTTTACTCTATCTCTAAAAGTACTAGTATAAAACTCGTACTCTCTTACTCGCCTCATCTCTGCTTCTAGGGTTTCAGTGTTTTTCTATCCTCTTCGTTTCCACAGTCACAACATCACAAACCAAACCACACAAAGATGAGGTATCTACTCTCTCTCTCTCTCTCTCTTCCCTGTTTTCGATCCTTCGATTTCGAGTCTTCAGTCACTCCGATCGACTCTTTTACGATCTCTATGTTGTTCTTCAATCATATGCTTTTTTACACTTTCAATTTTTGTAGCTTTTGTTTTTTGTTACCCCCCCCCCCCCCCCCCCCCCCCCCCCCCCCCGCGGGGGTTATTTTCGATTGTGTAAATGTGTGTTTTTGATTTTTGCCCTAAAAAAGCAGAAATTTTTTATATAGATTCTGTTGAACTTGTATGTGATGGTGTTATTCTTTCCTGCTGTTGCGAAAGTTTGATCTCTCATTCTATCTTTCATTTATGCATTCTGAAAGATCCCGTAATTTTAATTGTTGAATGAGATCATTGTTCAAGAGATATTAATAACATAGGGTTTTGGGTTTATGGGTCTCGAGTCAATTTGCCAAAAATTCTGAAAAAGTTTTTATTTTTGTTTTTATTTTTATTTTTATTTTATGAAACATTTTAGGGGTTGTGATTCAAGATTATGATAGTTGTGTTATTAGTTACTTTGTTTAGTTGGATAAGAAATATGTTATTTTGGGAGTCACAAAGAATTGCTAGTGACTATTGAACGGCTTTCTACTAGCAGAGTAGGTTTCTGTTGTAAAGTGAACTACTTCAATCGGTTGGTGTCATTTCTAAGACTCCTAGTTATTGGTTATTAAAGACACTGTGTGCTGATTTTCTATTGATACTTGGTCTTGTATTTTAACTTATATGTGTCCGTAGTATACAGGTAGGCATTGTTTATTATTTTAAATATTACAGTAGCTAATAGAGACAATTGTTAAGGAGTTCTCAGCACCATCATCTTTATGATTTTCTAGAAATGAATAGTGGAAAATAGGAGCTCTGAGTAATGTTTGTGGGAATGCAAATGTCTGTTGGCCATTTGTTGATGGACAGAAATCTGATGACATTGACAATATTATACTCCATGTCATGGAATTTTGTAGGCTACTGCATGAATTGATGATTGTGTCATGCTTCTATTGAAATTCTGGTTTTGTTTAGTCCACTTCATCAATCACACAACTCAATTCTTATTCTTCTACTTCTTTCTATGGTTGGCCAACATACTGGAGTGGGTCACTTTACCTTTGTAGTTGCTGCAGTGTACTCTGCACGTTAATATTGGTTGTGTTCTCCCAATATATATTTATATTTACTTGAGATACACACTAAAGATCGCTCCTATGGTTTCTTTATTTATTTTGTTATTTTTGTGTGATTATCACTGTCCTAATATGTTTTGTAATTTCCAGTCGACATCCCGAGGTGAAGTGGGCTCAGAGGCTGGACAAGGTTTTTATCACAATTCTATTGCCAGATGCCATAAATGCAAAGGTTAATCTCGAGCCTGATGGAGGTTTTACATTCACTGCTAGTGCTGGAGCAGAGAACCACCTTTACGAACTGAAGTTGGACCTTTTTGACAAAGTTATTGTCGAGGTAAGACATGGTTTGCCATTATTGCTACTCATTTGGTTCTTTCTGAATCATTGCGACAAGCCTGATGTATATGAATGATGGTTCAACTTGCACTGCACCTTGGACATGTAATCACATAAGCTGAGAATAAGGATTTGGTCACTTAGTTTATTACACTGGCTTAATATCTAATTACATAATCTAACTATCTAATGCGCTTGTCTACTCCTTTGGAAGGTTACAGGAAGTGGGTCCATCAGAAATAGTTTAGAATAGAATATTGTTTGTTATTATTGTATTTTGACTGTGATAGCTTTGTAGAATTTATTACGGTTTTGAGGGGATCCATTGACTGGCAAGTGTGCACTTGTTTGCTGTGGTTAGAGTAATGTATGCAAAATATTTTTCTGATTTATTTTACTCTACAACTTCTGATTCTCATTTTTGCAGGAAAGCAAAATAAATGTGGGTGTGAGGAGTATATTTTGTGTTTTGGAGAAAGCGGAGATGAAATGGTGGAAGAAACTACTGCGGGGAGATGACAAGCTACCACACTATGTGAAAGTAGATTGGGACAAATGGGTGGATGAAGATGATGATACTAGTATTATGCCCTCCAATTCACATTTTATTTCTTCAAACTGTTCTGCTTGATGTTGAATATATGGTCTTCATTTGTTAATTTGAAATCTACTTTTTTTGCTTAGGTTCTACTCCTAATGACCTTGATTTGGGAGGGATGGATTTCTCGGTAAGGATGTTTAGAGCAGCTTTTTGCTGTAGATTTGGAAATTCTTATAGGACTCTGCTGATTTTTTGCTTATTGATGCATGCACAGAAATTTGGGGACATGGGAGGCATGGGCGGCATGGGAGGCATGGGAGGCATGGAAGGCATGATGGGCGGCATGGGAGGCATGGGCGGCATGGGAGGCATGGGAGGCATGGGCGGCTTGGAAGGCATGATGGGCGGCATGGGAGGCATGGACGACCTTGATGATAGTGATGAAGGTAAAAAACTTTAGGCAGTTTTTATTTTGATATACAGATCAAGCATCACGTGTGCTTTGTTAATGCATCAAGTGTTAAGTAAAAGGGTGGTAAATATAGTGCCAAGATTGTTTGGTGTTGAGAGTGGTGTATTAGTAGTTTAGTTGCCATGGTCAATTGGAACACTGGCACTTCGAGGGCCCCATAAAGGCATGTTCAACATATCTCCAATGTACGTCCATACTGACATTTATTTAAACATTTGGAAGTTTGCTTCCATTCTTTTCCAAAATTTTAAACTGTTGTTTGAAGTTGACTTTGAGCAACAAGTTTTACTTTTGTGGAATTACTCAAGTATAACTTCGGCCATGAAATCAGTTTTTGCATGTGCAAATATATTGAGAACATAGTTCACCTTTGTTTCAGTAATATGTAGAAAATTGAAACAATGCGAAAGCAGTTCATGAAAGTATACTTGTTTATTGCTTTTCTTAAGCTGCCATTTAATGTGCATAACTCCTCATTAAACCACTAGGTCAGGCCACCCCACGGTCGCTCGGTTTGGGTTCTAACTAGGGCTGCAAACGAAATGAGCCGAGCTGGGCTGAGCTTTGCTGAGCTTGAGCTCTGCTCGATAAGGAATTGGGCTCGAGCTCGGCTTGGCTCGTTAATAGTAATGAAACTCGAGCTGAGCTCTGCTCGACTCGGCTCGATAATTTTTTTTAATATTATTTATATTATTTAATATGTACTATTATTTATATATATTTATTTATTATTTAATATACAAATAATATATTTATTATATAATTTAAATAAAGATAAACGAGCCGAGTTTATGCGAGTTCGAGTTCGGTTTGTTTACTAAACAAGCCTAATATTTGAGCTCGAGCGTGGCTCATTTACTAAATGAACTGAGCGGAGGCGAACGCTTAACGAGCAAAGTCGAGCTTATTCATGGACAACTCGGTTCATTTGCAGCCCTAGTTCCAACCTAACTTGAAGTTTGACATCTCCCACTTGCCCATGGTTGGCATGACATTGTTGCTTCTCTCAAAATCCATCTTATAGGGCATCAACGTGGTTTATGAAAATGGCATAGTCCACTAGTTCTCATGTCAGGTGCTGATTCTGTATCACTGATGTGAGAAACAATTTTTGCTGTTTTTCTTTTGTTGAACTTCTGCATTTGTTTGTGGGACTAACAATTAGGTCCTCATCTATTTTGTCTGAGGGGCTTGGGCATTTAGAAATGAAGGGATCATGTCTCAGTCTTGCTTAAGAAGTGATTTGTCATTTTGCAATGAGTGTCAAGTTCAAGTAGCTTGCCGCTGGGTATACAAGTGTTTGCTATGTTGGTATCTTGGTGGGTGGGTCAATAGTAACTTCTTTGCCATTATTTATATTCCTTGTAATATGAGCTTCTTAATTAATCGATCTTGAATTCTGTAGAACAAGAAGTGATCCTTGAGTTTAGACGGGATCATTGATGTGGAGTTTGTTTCATAGACATGTAGTACTGGGTTCTTCTAGTCTACTGAGCGCTTGTGTTGAAGGTGGTCTTATTTTTATTGTGAAAGGTTTCTCTCTTCTGTGCTATAATCTATAGACAGCTCTTCTAGTTTATCCTTTTTTCCACAATTTAATTTTTGGTGGGAGGTGGTCTTATTTTATGTACTAAAGGTTTCTCTCTTCTGTGCTATAATCTATAGACAGCTCTTCTAGTTTCTCCTTTTTTCCACAATTTTATTTTTTGGTGGGAGATGGTCTTATTTTATGTACTAATTTAATTTATGTGTAGATGAAGAAATGTCAAAGCCAGAAGAGAAAAACGTCGAGAAAGCAAAAGGGAAAGCAACGCCAGGGGAACATGTGGCCAGTAAGGTGGAAGGAGCTACAGAGGGGAAAGTTGAAGCTGCACCAAGCACATGAACTGTCTTAGTTGAGGGTGTTGATGGATACCTTTAGCGCTGTGTTAGTGGGTAAATTTCTTCTCCATACGACTTGAAAAGCATGCCTTTTCCAAACTAAGTGAGTGTTAATTTGGCCCGAAGTTTCATGTTTACAAATATTGGCTTCTGTCGTTGGAGACACAGCAACTGTTATTCCATATATTGACTTGGATTTGGTGGTTGTATTTTATTTGAGGGTTTGGTGGATGATATTCCAATAGTAGGTGGCATCTGGATTCACTTAATGATTTCTTTTGCCTGCAGGAGTTTGATGTTTTTCTTTTCTCGTTTGGTTTTTTAGTAGCCATACTACTACTACTGGAAAATTTGAACGAAAATTTGAAACGATATGGCGTGCGCGTGTGGTTTTCAAGGATTTGGTCGTGTTGGGTTTTCAAATTAATAGTATTTTTGTGTTGGGTTTTGGTTGTATTTTTAACTCCCCTAAGACCATCTCCAATTCAGCACTTTTTGTTTCATCAAATTTAAATTTAATAAAAATTTGTGCTTTTTGCTGTGTCAACCCTATCACCAAATAAGTATTAAATTTAGGATTTCTTAAATCTTTTATTAAATTGAGGATGAATGTATCTTTCACTATTGATAGCCATTGGAATTGTAGGTTATTTTCATCGTCAGACCGGTTGGATGTCCGGTTGGTTGTCTCCCAGGATGAATATTTTTTTGTAAAAATTTGTGAAAAAATTACATTGACTAATTGTCTGTCTGGTCGTTTGATTGGTCGGCCGGTATTTTGATGAAAGTTTAATATTTTTAGTTGGAGTACGTGATATCATATTAGGTGATATCATCTAAAGGTTTTACCCAAATTTAATAAGAAAAAATATATATAAAAATCACAAACTGGTGCAGTGCCGTGACCCAACCCCAAACTTTTAGGTCTGACTGCCATGCTGGAAGTAAGTCTCAGATAAAGAAGTGGAAGCTTTCAGCTCTATTACCCATCTATTGCTCTAACCCATTTAAATCAACTGCTGGTTCAAAATTGTTAAAATATAGAAAAATTACAATTCAGTCCACTTTTTGAAAAATAATTATAAATAAATAGAAAAAATTATGATTTTAATTATGGGAAATGTTTAATCCACACACAATATTCTACCCCGACACACTGCAATTGCACGTGGCACCCTCTGAACAAAAAACACCCCTTGTTTCCTCTCTATTTCTCAAATGTAAAATCTCTCTCTTAGAAACTCGTAGCAATCTTCGTCTCTCTCGAACAAGATTTCAAGTTTCGTATTTCTCTCTTAAATTGACGCCACAGCGATTGTCTCTCTCACAAACAAAATTCCAAGCTCCGTCTCTCTCTCTCTCTCTCAAGTTGACGCCGGGCCCAATCTCTCTCAAACAAGATTCCAACCATAGATTCAGCATCAATTCTTTCTTGCCTTCAATGACATTGCCACATTGTTTGTCAGATTGGGTTTTGTCGCAACCATAAAGGATCGAGCAATTGAAGTACGTAGAAGAGTAAAAGATCAAAAATTTGTTGGAGGAGAAAACCAACATGCAAGGGTGTAGAAGAGGAGAGATGAGACTGACCTAGCCAATCGAGGTGGCTCATTTCAGGACGACCTATTTGGTGACTACGATGATCCAATTGGAAAAGCCACACATCAAAAAATTGATGAGATCAATTTGCACTCACTTGATCAAATGAGTTTTCTGTTTCCACAACACTATGTGTGGTTTTTCTTAAATTAAAAGTTGATAATTAGAAAGTAAAAAATAAGAGTACTCATTTTTCAATTTTTAAATAATCAATTTTTTTTAGCTTATTTAAATTATTTTTGCATAATAAGTTATAAGCAGAAGTTACACTAAACAGTTTGGTATAGACTCCTAAATTAAATAAGCTATAATTATCCCTAAAAATTGTACCAAACAGTCTATGTGAATGTAAATATATCCGATTTTATTCATATATTATTGACAATTGAAAGTTTGACACTTCATTGTTTTATGCCATTCAAAACTTAGCTCATCTAGATGCTTTACTAGATTATAAATATTGTTTTCGAAATTGAAAGAGAAAGAGAATAGGTTCATAATCAGAATAACAAATTAATACACACAACAGAGACAACAACCAAGGAAATGTGCATAACGGGGATTTATGTTTGTCTAGCATGAGACACCATTGCCTTTATCGTTATCGCAACCGACAACACAATCACTGCCAACCCTCTGCTATAACTTGCCACCTCCCTCTCTCTAGATTACGACAGCCCCATCTATTACTGGACGCCCCAAAACTAGGGTTGAGCAAGGAATTGGTAAATTCGTAATTCGATCAGATTCAGTCCAATTTGATAGGTTTAGATTAGTTTTTTGAATCTATGATTTTAGTTCTGGATTGAAAAATTAAAAATTCGTAGTTCACGGATTGGTTTCGGATTGAACCCTATAGTTCCGGATTAAAACTAGTCCGGATCATATACAAATAGCCTATATTTATATTACACACTCTCCCGCATAGTATCTTCTCTTATTTCATATAAAACTTAAACGAAAACCTAAACCCCGCATACTATCTTCTTTTATTACTTTTATTTGTTAGATTTTAGTTTTAATTTGTAATTGTTTAAATACTCATAGTGGAATCAGTTTTTTTATAATTATTTAAATTCTAGAACAGTATAGTCCTATTATGGAAAAACATGTTACTATTGTGGAACTAATATGATGCTATGTTTATGTTTTTATGAAATTAAAATGTCACATATATATATATATTTTTGTTATTTAATTATGTGAATCCGTGATCTTAAACCGATCTAATCCATGTTTAAATAGATTGGTTCCATAATTTAAATGGATTGAATTGGTTCTAATTCTTCAATAATCGTAAATAACAAATTGATCTTGATTTTACCTCAATTTAAACCAATCCGGACTATGTTCAACCCTATCCAAAACTCCTTTCACTGTCACCCTTAGTTCTCTCTGTCTGGCCATAATCAAGTGGTTTTGGTGTTGAATGCGGGGATAGATTTGTAGCGTTTTTGGAGGTGGATTGGATTGAGTGGAGTTTATTGGTGGTTTTGGCAATGGTGGATTATGTAAAAAGACGTTGAGGGAGGAATTTTTTTTATTTGTCATTAGTGATAAATTTGTCATTAGTGATGAGTTAAATTAAACTTTTAAATATTCAAACTTATTTATTAAGAATTAGCTCGAGCTCGAGCTAGACTCTACTTGTGCTTAAAAAATCAAACTCCAGCTCAGCTCGTCAAATATTTGTTGAACTCGAACTCGACACGAGCTACAGTTTGAAAAAAAATTAAATTTAAATTAAGTAAAAAAATTAAATTTAAATTAATATATTTATTAAGATAAAAAAATACAAAATTATGATTAAAATATATTATAATTCTTATATTAATAATAAATTTTATTAATCAAATATGTAAATTTACACAAACACTAAATATAAATAAAAAATGAAATAGATTATTGAAAATTTATTTAATATATTATTAAAAATAAATGTTAATTTATTATTTTTATGTTCACGAGACTTAGGAGTGGTTGTGGTTCGGTTTTAGATGGTTTGCGAATCGGTTTGGAATGATACAGATTGAATTTTAAAAAATAAGTATTTTTATTTTATTATTTTAAAATTAATATTGTTATGAAATTATTTAGTTATAGTTTCTTTATTTCCGTATTGCATTATGGTAGTTGCCAATTTTGGTTGTTTCCTAATTAAGTTAGATCTATATTTTGGTAGTTGCTGATTCTGGTTGTTTTCTAATTAAGTTAGGTCTATTTTTTGTTTATAAATAATGAATATAAGCCTTAGGGCAAAGGAAGAGATAGTTTTTTTGATAATTAACATATTTTGAGTTTTATAATCTTTTGTCTAACTTTGAGTATTCTTTTTAATTAACTATTGTTAAGCCTTTATTCTTGGTATTCTTTGCGAATCAACGAGTCTAGAGAGGAATCTTACTTCCGGAATTCTTGTTTGAATTAACGGATTTTAAGATTATTTTTATTACGCGTTTTGCGCTGCATCAGTTGGTATCAGATCTTGCTACGTTCTTGCTTTATGCCTAGGAATCGCAGTGATGCTCAGGAGGTTCCTGTGGAAGAGGAGGAGGTAATAGATGATGATTCTAACCTGCTGAGTTTTCATAGTGAAAAGACCGAGGAGAGATCATGCATTGAAAAATTATAAAGATCACGTGAACCAAATCACTAAACACGATGATCTGATTAAATGGCCTTTCACGTCAAAATTTATTCTGGATTCGATTGTGAATTGGAGTAAGCCATCAATTTTTGATGATGAACTATTCATTGATGGAACTAATAATATGTTTAATCATATTTTGTCTGTTGGAAGCATAAATCAAAGTTATGGAAGCGTTGGTGTTAATTTTATTTTTGTGGAAGATCATATACTTGGTTTACATGAGTTTAATGAGCATTCAAAATCGATTTACAATATGGAGAATATTTTCTATGATCTGTTTGAAAAGAAATTTCATGAAGTGTCACGACCCCACTCTGTCCCTAGTAGAATGGTGCCGTGATGACTAGTAATTCGAGATTACCAAAGGCCAACTTACAAGGATTCACACAATCAGAGTATATATATATATGGGGCCTACATGTACAGAAGCAATAAATTTAAATCTAAGTAGTCCATAAGAGTTGTGCATAGATCAAATGAAATGACATACATCTTAACATAGTTTTACAACTTGGATACAAATAAAATAAAGTATATGTTACATTTTGATCAAAAGGCTTTTCAAGCTGACATATACAAAAGAAATGAGTTACAAACTAAGAAGCATAATCTTCAAGATAATACAAAACATGAATCAAAACATCTTGCACATAATATCTTAGGCGTCACCGTCTTCTTGCTCATCACCTACATATATATAAAGGGGAGGGTGAGCTTGGATACTCAGTGAATGATATAATTAATAAAGGTTTGAATGAATGATATCCGAAATCTTTATCAAAACAATACATATAATAACTTGTACAAAGCATGAGATGAATCAAGTTCATCAATCAAAGTCTTTCAAAGCTTCTTGGATGTTAATAACATCTACATATTACCAAAGGATGACATTCCAGACAAAACAAGGGAATAATCGTCCCGGAATCGAAGCACACCCGTTAACGACCGTTGGTGGTCGACTCGGAATCAGTTAGACAACCCACGTGAAAAACTGTCAGTGGCAAAACAAGGGAATAATCGTCTCGGAATCAAAGCACACCTGTTCACGACCGTCAGTGGCCGACCCGAGATCGATTAGACAAATCCATCCGTACAAGACCGTCGGTGGCAAAAGAGATATCTCAACAAAGGTGCTACATAGGCTTAATGTCCCCTAGCACGAAAGGACGTTCCAAGAATGTCATCAAAACAAACATAATACTTGATACAAAAACTAGGGATAATCATTCATACTTAAACAAATACTTTTCTAAAACGAAACAAAGCAAAGCTTTTATCAAAACATTAGAACATAACTTTATTAAAAATACCACTCACATAGCTCTTCGGGTGTAGGGATTAAGGCAAGGATTCAAGACCTACAAATACATGGCAAAGTCCACTAAATGTATTTCAAGAAGACAAGAAAGAATGCTCAAAGATGGTTATGCAATGCATTCTTAAAAACAAGCTTTACATGAATGAAAATGATGCCGGAATTTCTTTCCAAAACCAAGTCAAGACAAAGCAAAACATGTGCTGGGAGTTAAAACACTGTTTTTCTTCTAGGGAAACATGCTGGGAGTCAAAACATATTTTTCTTCTAGGGAAAACATGTTGGGTACCAACTAGCTCTTGGAATGGATGCATAGAGATGATCTAGGCTAAAATGACCTAGCTGGGTGAACTCAGGAGGTCTTGGCCGAGGTCCCACACCTCTTGGCTGAGGTGTGTTTACCTAGGCTTCGGTGTGCAGCTGCCTGCCGAGGTGTTACAAGGTGCCAGCAAGGGTGTACCGTGGTCGGCCTAGGTGTGCAGTGGTTAGCCTAAGTGTGCATGCAAGATAGACTAATGGTGTAAGTGATCATGCAAGGTAGGCCAAGGTGAGATACGATGCTTGGCCTAGGTGTGAGATCTAGGCAAGAGTGGTCTCGGTGACCACACCTAGGGAAAGGTGAAGTCTGGAAATCTGGGTTTCCTCCCTTGAAGAACATGAAGAACATGAATGCTAGATTCATAACTTTTATTCCAAAATCTGAGATTTCATGATATGAGTTCAAAAACATGGACCTGGGTACCCATACTTGGAGATTTCATGAAAACAAACACAAAAATATGGAACTTGTTACAAACTTTTGGATCAAAAAATGGTTTTTCTTCAAGAACACAAGAACATCATTTTCTCTTCCTAAAACCAAACTTTAAGTCAATGCATGGCTTATGAATCATGTTAGATCATGCAATGCGATTAGATCAACATAAAGAACAACAAGAGTAGATCAAGAATCTAACCTCAAAATGCAAATCCAACGGTTCAAACTCTAATGATCAAGTTTGGAAATCTAGCTCTCTCTCTAAGAACTTCTTCCTCTTCTTCCTAGAGCTTCTCTCTCTACAAGGCTAGGATATGACAAAATGATATGGGGTTCTCAGCTAGCACCTGACTTAACCCTCTGCTGGGACACGTGGTAACGCCGGATTGGATAACCTCAAAAAGGTGCTAGAATGACAAGACAAGAGTATGACAAAGTGTGTATAACAAGTAAGGTGGTATGGGCACTCTGGTAGGTAATGATCTTGGATTAGGACAAGGCTTTAGGCAAAAGGTTTTAATGATCTCGGCTAGGAAGGATAACACTTGACCTAGCTGTGCCACACCTCGGTCTAGGTCATACCAGTCTAGGAACAAGATCGCTAGGTGCAAGGATCAAAGATCTAGGACGCCTAGATGATAACATCTCGACCTAGGTGATGCACACCTCGGCCTAGATGATGACATCTCGACCAATATGCCTAGGTGACGGGGGAGGTTAACCAAGGTGGTTCCAAGATGGTCCTAGGTGTAAGAGGTTCAAAGGTGTGACCTAGGCTTGAGATGACTTAGGCTTAACATGACCTAAGCTTGAGACAGCAAGCAAGGAACAAAGCATGCATATAACACTTAGGCAAAACACATAAGCACAAAACAAGACATGAACTTTTACTTAGGCAAAACAAGCCAAAGTCTACAAATACAAGCTTAACAAGACAAAATCATGCGAATGCACATGAATATGACTAAGACAAGAATGTGGGTTATTACATGAAGAGTTTATAAATTTTAGTTTGAACCGTTCAAATTTGGGCTTTTATGAAGATGTGTTAAATTTGTTAAAGAAATTTGTTCCTTTAATTTTAGGAAACTCTTCTTTGAAGTTTAGATTTACAAAAATTAACCTCAAATACAAGGTTAATGCGAATAAGTGCAGACGTGCCAAGTTATTTCAAGCAATAGAAACTCGAGGACGAGTTTTCTTAATCGGGAAAGACTGATGCGGATTGAATTTTAGAAAATAAGTATTTTTATTTTATTTTTTTAAAATTAATATTGTTATAGAATTATTTAGTTATTTAGTTTCCTTATTTCCGTATTGCATTATGGCAGTTGCCAATTCTGATTGTTTCCTAATTAAGTTAGGTTTATATTTTGGTAGTTGCTAATTCTGGTTGTTTCCTAATTAATTTAGGTCTATTTTTTGCTTATAAATAATGAATGTAAGCCATAGGGCAAAGGAAGAGATAGTTTTTTTGATAATTAATATATTTTGAGTTTTATACTCTTTTGTCCAACTTTGGGTATTTTTTTGAATTAACTATTGTTGAGCCTTTATTCTTTATATTCTTTGTGAATCAACGAGTCTAGAGAAGAATCTTACTTCCGGAATTCTTGTTTGAATTAACGGATTTTAAGATTATTTTTATTACTCGTTTTGCGTTGCATTTGACCCGTCCGCAGGTATGCGGTTTAGGAAAATTCAACCCGTAACCGCCCGTAGTGTGGGTTGCGGTTTGTGCGGATAGGGTTCGCGGATGTACGGACGGTTACTGGCAGTTTACAGATTAGACCTTTTTTAAAAAAAAATTATTTTGGAGTCTTTTTTTTTTTCTTCCATTTTGTAAATATTTATTTTAGGTTCTTTTCTCCCCATTTTCAAAAATGTTCCAACATTAATAATTAATGAATTAAAACTTATAAAATTAAAAACACAACAAAATCAATTTCTAACACAAACAAATCATTCAAAATTTTAAACTTTTAAATCAAATCATAAACTAACACAAGCATATATTTCAAAATTCTAAACTAGATCATCAATTTCATTCACTATCTACTATCTAACAATACAATTAAAGTAAAATCATTCAAAATCCTAAGCTTACCTAAAAGTAATTATTCATTAACTTTTACATTCATAAAAAATACAATAATAAAATAACAACGGATTTAACACACACGAAAAAAAAAGTCCAAGTGTCAACGGGTTCTTACGGGTGCGCCGCAATCCGCAATCATACCATATTCCAAACTACATCCGTCCGCATTGTGTCTAGGAAACCGGCCATTTGTATGTGGATCGGTTCGGATTGGTCGGATTACGCGGTTCGAATAACCCTATACGCAGCCCTAACAAGACTTATTGAGCCGAGTTTAAGGCTACTCGAACTCTTCATTAATAAGTAAGTGTAAAAATTGAACTCAAACTCCTTCATTTAAATAAATAAGTCAAGCTCAAACGAACTTTAAACGAGTCGAAATGAAATTGTTCATGAACAACTCAGTTGGTTTGCAGATTCACAAGTGTACTGTAAGGAGATGTTTGATTGGAAGGATTAGGGTGTGAGATTGGATTGAAATCCATTAGAAACCTCTTATCCAGCGTTTGTTTTTCTTTTACTCCGCCGAACATGGATTCTGACCAGACTCCTTATTCCCCATATGTGGGATTACACTGTCTGGGAGGGGTGTGGGACAATTTTCATGGGATAACAATCCCATGGGATTAAACCGTAAAAAGTCTATTTTGCCCTCATCATATATCATTTATTTCCTCTGTTGTTGGTGGGTTTTGGGTTTGTATTTTTTTTTTTTAAGCCTTGAAACATAGTTGATATGTTGCTTTTAATCGATCGGTGTGAAGGCTTTTTGTTAAAATCTCTTTAAATTTTGTTTTTTGTTCTTTTGGTTTTTGGGTGTGTGCTCTTTACTCATTTTTCTTTATTGATGTATTTATGTTTTGTTCATTCTATGTATTAATAAAGTTATTTTTTTACTGATAAAAAAATATTAATTTTTTTGAAGGGAAATAGTCTTATTTATATTGAAAGAATGTGATCATTAAAAAATATAATTATTGGAAAAATATTTGTTTGAAACATTGAAAAAATTAAACAATTAATTATGATTCACTAATCAATTATAAATAAATATTAAATTTAAAGATAGATTTAATATTGTTATTACTTAATAAATAATTAAAATATAATAAAATAATTTTTTAATCATAAATATTAAATTTACTAAAAATAATTATTTAAAAAAATCTAATCTCATAAAAAAAATAAACCCAAATAATCCAAAAAAATTCATATCCCCAACATTCAAGTCTTATACAAATTTCCTTATCCAGGCCGTCCAATTAAATATTTTCCAAGTTACCGTAGGGGGCATTACTTGAGGAAGAGCCCAACCCTAATACACCATTGGTGGGGAGCTTCCACTTTCTCTTGCCCTGCAGCCGAAGAGAGAGAGGGGAAAATGGAGGCGACGGAGATGGATGTGGAAGAAGCAGAGGCAAGTCTGAATACAAACTCGTTGAAGCGATTTGGACTCAAAAACAGTATTCAAACCAACTTCGGAGACGACTACGTCTTCCAAATCGTCCCCAAGTATGTCCCCCTCTCTGTCTCTGTCTCTGTCTCTGTCTCTGTCTCTCTCATCGCTGTATGTATGTATGTATGTTAGGGATGATTGGACTTTAATGGCGGTGTCTCTGTCGACCAACGCCGTAAAACTCTACTCACCGATTACAGGTCAGTACTTTGGAGAGTGTAAAGGCCATTCTTCGACTATCAACCAAATCTCCTTCTCTGGATCCACATCCCCTCACCTCCTCCACTCTTCCTCTTCTGATGCTTCCATCAGAGCTTGGGACACCAGATCATTCCAGCAGGTCCCCCTCTCTCTCTCTCTCTCTCTCTCCCCATATATATATACATAGCTGTATGAGTTTATATATATATATATATATATATCATTGTTTGTGTTCAATTTTGATTGTTCTTGACACTGCAGGTGTCTTGTCTAAGTGCTGGTCCTTCCCAAGAGATTTTCAGTTTTTCATTTGGAGGATCGGGTGATAATCTTCTCGCTGCTGGAAGTAAGTCTCAGGTATGCATGCATGTATGTATGTATGTATGTATTATTTTTTAGGTATTTTAAGTAATCAGGAATGGAATTTTAATGAGCAACAATCAAATGGCGTAACAAATTGGGATTTAGGGTGTGATAATGGTCTAACAAATTGGACAAATTGGGATTGAGGTGTAATGCATTGGCTTTTTTTTTTTGTTGTATCTCTTTGCCTGTCACTAATTGATAAATTCATTCAGATATTCTTTTGGGATTGGAGAAACAAGAAGCAGATTGCATGCTTAGAGGAATCTCATATGGATGATGTTACTCAGGTGCTATTTGATGTCTGTATATGCTTTTGCATTACTAGTAGTTTTCTATAAACAGGCAGGCCATCATATCATTGTTCCTGCATTTTTGGTGGTGTTTTTTTGTGATATTTTTACAAAATAGTGCTCTATTTCAAGCTTTCATATTTTAAATATGATGCCAGTTCTTGAGGTGAGCTTGTTTTGAAGGAAAGAATTGTCACTGAATGATTTTTTATAGGTTCACTTTGTCCCTGACCATCAAAACAAGCTTGTATCAGCTTCTGTAGATGGCTTAATGTGTATCTTTGATACTGGTGGTAATATCAACGATGATGATCATCTGGAGTCAGTAAGTGCGGGAACTTTCTTTTGTTCTTTTTTCCCTTCTTGTTTTAGTGTTGTGATTTTGTTGAGCTTTTGGGGAGGGATAAAAATATGAGCCCAAATTTTTATTTATTTATTTATTTTTTATAAATTTCTCTGTTAATTGTTACAACCAATGCAGGTGATTAATGTGGGAACTTCAATTGGAAAAGTGGGGTTTTTTGGACAGGCTAGCCGAAAGCTCTTTTGTTTGACACACATTGAAACCTTAAGGTATTATTGCAAAGTGCATAATAAACTTGCATGAGGACATTACGGTCAATGTTTTTACGAACATCACGAGATGAGTTTTTGATTTCACTGTCCTTTTCAGGTCATAACACACACACGATTGTAGTGACATAGTTTTTTTTTTTTTGGCCCAATTTCAGTGTTTGACTAGTTATTTGCTCCATTGTAGATACAAAATTTGCCTTATCATAAATTAAAGTGCTCCAAATTGAATAGATGGCAATGGAATGGATTAACTACCTACTACTAGTAGGGAAATTTAGTCAAAACCCCTCCATTGGACCCTTGTTTAGTGAAAATGTCAGCTTTATTTTTCTTCATAAACCCCTAAGGAGAAGAAAACACATAATTAAGTAAGAACAAAGTAAAATATATACTTTTTTCCTTTATTGGACAATATTGCTAGAGGAACATGTTACCGTCAAATAAAGTAATATGTTATTGTTACTGTTTACATTTATTTCAACGGTAATAATTTTTTTTTAATAAAGAATTTTATAGTCAACATGGATTTTATTTGATAGATCTTGATGAGAGAATTCTAAAAATATTAATTTTATTAAAAATCAGTATCTACATCAAAAGTTATATTATTTTAAATTTTAATATTTTGATAACAGTGATATTTGTTGGATTTTTTAAGGAAATTTTTTTGTGCTTGTCCTTAATGCATTAAAATTTTATTATGAGAGTGTTTTGACCAAATCCCCCTTGGGGTGAAATTATAATGTATATATTGGGTGTTGGGATGGTTTTGATCTTCATACAAGTTGATTACTGGATAACTGTACATGTGGTTTTATTTTATCACTCTCTTTTGATCTATATTTTTAGTCCTGATTTTCTTTCTGCTACAATTTTGCTGGACGGTTAGCATTTGGGATTGGAAAGATGCAAGAATTGAAGTCAACTTTGAGGATGCTCGTTCCTTGGCTTCTGACTGCTGGACCTTAGATCATGTATGTGCATCTTTTGCACTTAATAGAGAGTCTGCTAAATTTGCTTTGCTATTGAAGGTTCTATGTTTCAAACATATGATTGCAATACCTTTTTTTTCTCTTTCCTCCTATGAATGAAATGTGCATTATGTATATCAAAACCAATTGTTTTCAAGCTTGGAGCTTTGTTTGGGTTGAGCCCCTCAAGTGTTAAACTGCCCTGCATAAATTTAAGCTGCAATTCTGATATGGCTACAGAAGCACAAGTAAATGGGTCACAAGATCAAATTGGAGAGGGTGGCATTCAATCTTGTGGTTGAAGCCTTGAACAAATTGTTTTCAAGCTCCTTCGGTTTTCAAGATGATGTATCGTGGCCTTTCCCATCCAAATACTCATCTGTCATAATGTTGCCTTACCCATCCAAGTACTCATCTGCCACCATGACAATGCTTCTTTCACATTACTGTACTAAGCCCTGCAATATCTGTTCTAATTTCTGTCATTCAACCACGAGCATTTATGCTTTGTTACAGGGAGATGGATTTTTGCTTTGAAGTTTGTTGAACTTCCTTCTCAAACATTCACCCTTTGCAAATTTAGAATTACATACAAAAGAACAAATCAAAAGAAAGAACCTAGACCTATGGTTTCTTAATTCTGATCTAATTCTTCTGAGCTAGACATATTTTTCAACTTTTGGTACAAGTTCTCTGAGTAACACAAATTTACAACCCATATTCTAACTGACTTCATTTATTGCAGGTTGATTATTTTGTTGATTGCAACTATTCAGGTGAAGATAATTTATGGGTAATTGGTGGGACAAGTGCTGGCACCTTGGGCTACTTCCCTGTGAATTGTAGAGGAAAAGGAGCAATTGGGTCTCCAGAAGCTATTCTCCATGGTGGTCACACGGGTATTGTTAGAAGTGTGTTGCCAATGTCAGGTGTGCCGGGTTGGCCAACCCATAGCCGAGGCATCTTTGGATGGACAGGCGGTGAGGATGGCCAGTTATGTTGTTGGTCCTCTGATGAAACATCTGATGTTAATCGTTCTTGGATTTCAAGTGAACTAGTCATGAAGTCACCGAATTCCTGCAGGAATAGCAGGCATCATCCCTACTAGTAACGTTGATCGAATCATGTTGTATTTCTGTTTTTAACGATTTTTTTGGCCATTTATTTTTTGCCCCTTTCACATCTGTACATTTTTTTTTTCAAAATCCAAAAGAAAAAAAGAAAAAAAGAAAAAAAGAAAAAGAAAAAAAGGAGCATTGGCACAGGGTTTGTCTGGTATCTGTATTGTATTACAAGTAATGAAAAATAATAAAAGTTTTGCTGCGGGGACGTTGTAGATTAAGCATCCATGAACAAATTTTCTGTGGCTTGAATGAGCCTTACTTGAGGAATATGTATTTTGTAGATTTCTACCCGCAAAGAAAAAAACATTTAAGAAAGATAACATTAAAAAGAAAAAAATGATTTATAAAGAAAAAAACAAAACAAAAAACAAGTAAATTTATGGATCCTTATAAAACCCAACCATGAAACAAAAATTAAAGACACCAAACCTTTATAATCAAACTTGAATGCCTATCAATCACGTCTTCATAAAATCATTAATCCAGAAAATGGTGTTACTATACAGATAGCTGTTGTGAGGTTAGGTCCACAGTCTACCAACTGGGCATGTCCACGAACTCACAAACACACAATTAGAGAGCGAGAGATCTCAAAATTTCCACCTTCCGGGGTCTAGGAAAGAGTTTAAACTTGCAAGGGATAGATAGCTGAGAGTTCCAGCCCACAATTCATGTGACTACACGGGTGCTATTTTTTCTTTTTTCTTTTTTGTGGCAGATAATGACACGAATTTACAAAAATCATACAAATAAGTTATAAAGATAGTGGGCACTAGACAGTGATTCACTAGGGCGAGATCCATCAAAAGGTCATACATCATCTTCATCTAACCTTTTATGGACAGTTATTAAGTCAACCAAGTGACGCATTGTTGGTCTGCCGTGTGGACAATTCCAAGGAGACTTGAGATCTGCCAGATTTTCAAGGATCTGAAACAATCAAATGCAGCCAAAAATATGAGCATATACAAATCACATTCTGCAGATATTGAAAATTAAGTTAAAATGAAGGAATGAAAATGAGGGGAAATAGCTTCAGAAAATCCACAAGATCATATATTCCATTCAAAATGCATGGCGGTTGTTCCGGAAAGTTATAAAGAGATTAATTTGTTACATTCTTACTCCAAAATAAAAATAAACTGAGAGAGATTACTTGTCCCAGTGGATGGTTTTCCTCCCCTTTAAATTTCTTGTTCATTGTTTCCCTTTTAACACCATGCAATACAAATATATATAGAGGGGATACCTTCTGCATCTCATTTCTTCCAAGTGGATCTCCAATCATAACAGATGATCTGCAGGCACGTGAAGCTAGCATTGCACGAACTCTTGGCGGGCAAACTGACTCGGAAGTGTCCATTTTGTAGCTACTGGTCATCAAGCATTCCCCTTGGCTATCAGCAAGAATTGAAATGAGCTCCTTGACATCTGTTCAAGAAGACGAAGACATTTACCATATCCTTCATGTCACTTCACTGACATGTTCCAGTTCACGGGCAATAACAAAATGATTATATTGTAATAATAATGCAGAAACACAATGTATATCTGTGGCCAATAGACTATATCTTAGACCTGCATTGAAAGCAATTAGCTTCACACTTGTTTTATCCAATCATGTTTCAAAAGGTTTAGTTAACTTTATGCTATTGGGTTGAAGGTTTTCCAGGAAGCACTCCATATATGTAGTGAAAGGGGAACTGTTGACTGTTGAGTAACACCTGAAAATATTGGATGCTTGAGCACCTATTTGATTATTGTAATGAGGTATAAAAACCACCTAATACTTCGAGATAGCTCAAGCAACCAAAGATGCTAAACAAAGAAAGCTGGTCTTGAATGGCTTGAGCTTGATTGACTGGTTTAAAGATTACTGAAGCTCGGTCACCAGCCTATGTACTATAACAGGATAAGGGTGACAAGTGCTAAGCAGTAGATGACAAAGAGGTATATTACATCTCAACATTCATTTATTTCATAATAAAATAGGGATGTATCACAAAAGTGTTCATGCTGCATATTTTAAGGATTAGCTATTGTTGAGGTGGTCATATCATGTAGGAGGACAACATTATCATCCCTTAACCAACCGCTTCCAAATACCCATCTCTGTCTGGGACCATACAACAAATATATATACCAAACAATCCATTTGTTGCTTAGATGTTCAAGTGAAAATAAGCTAATAGAATAGCCCTTCAGCTTTAGCCAATCAGCTAAAGAAATGACCAGAATCTCATAAGGACATGCATGCTCTCTCTCTCTCTCTAAATTTAAAATTAGTTATAATTTATAAGAAAAAGTCATGGAAGTTTCCAGAACAAGGATTACCAGCAATTCCAAAAGTTATGTTTTTACTGAAGGGAATGGCTTTCAGTTTAAAACGATGGCCAGGTGGAGCATGCAAATCCTCTTCCAAAGCAAATCCATTTTTCCTGACAGTTGAAATGAGCAGAATGCATACATCATCAAAAAAGAATAAACTCTACCCATAAAGAAAGGGTCAAATTGTAAAGCATCAGAGCAAAACCACTAAATCATTATTATTATTTTTTTCTGTTTTCAAAAGTACAAACCACTAAAGCATTTGATGAATCTTCAAACAGAAAATTGGATATATGAATACAATGGATATGGAAAAGAACAAAAATGGCTAGGTGTATAGGCAAGTCGATCTTACAAACCACTAATAAAGCTCATTCATTTGTATCAGGCTGGACGAAAAACTGATGTTTACATCTCTACTTGTTTAAAAAGCATTATATGATGTGTTATCAGTAACCATGTGCTCATGATTTTTTTCCCCCTGATTTGTGCAAAATTTTATAGAGAAGTCTTATAAAGAGTACACATGAAAAAGGATCTCTCCACAAAAAAAAAAGTAAAAATGTTGCACAAACGGAAACAGTTAATATGAAGCCTTAGAATTATTTGCAACCAGAAATTGAAATGTATCAGGGAAAAGGAAAGAAAACTGAATGAATAAATGAGTAAAAGAGGAAACAGATTCGTATGGAATTTGTACCTGATGGTATTCATGTGCATGGAAGCAACTATTTCTTCTTCAGGAGATAAGTCCAACCTTAATGGTCTACATATAAAATGTAGGAAGACAGGAAACAGAAATTATGTCTAATCAAAGAATGCCTTACATAAATGCCAGGGGAAAACAAAAATAGTCAATTACAAGGAGAAGATTAAATGTGATATATGTTTTAACACCTCAATATTCATACTCTTTACACACAATCTTATTTTGCTTTCCTCATTGGAAAATTCTAAAAAGTTTATGTGATAGAATCCAAGGAATATTCCGTAAGCATGGGGAAAAAAAAGGTAAGCTTATTAAGAAGATTTGTAAAGGAATAATACAGGCCACATTATCTCTACTATCTCACCTACATGATGACAGAAAGAACAAAATACAATGATATGTTAAATGTTGAGATTTTCATAATAGATGTTGTCTAAGCAGGAGGAGAAGAAGAATAATTTGTTTTATGTTGACTGTTAAAATTTTCACAATAGATGGTAACTTAGTAAGAGAAGATTAATAAATTATTTTTCTTTCAGTAACGATTTCAGAAATCTGGAAAACATGTGGGTTATCCTCCAGTATTATCAATATTCGATCATCTAGTGACTGTGCCAGACAACCTGTATTCTGATGTTTTATGTCGTTCAATAAAACTACCTTATATCAAAATATAACAAACTCCTCACCGAAGCAGAGGCTGTTGGCTAAAAATGGTTGACTGAGAAAGACGCTCATAATTATATTTCTCATCTGCAGCATGCTGAAAATAGAGAAAAAAGTAAGTTTCGATTTTAACTGGAAGTGCATGCTATTGAAATCTGAGAATTTAAACATGGAGGCAACCTGTTATATTACAACCGGATCCCACACATTTAGCATTTGATGAGGAAGTTCCACTACACACAGACATTGATCAAAACATGAAGTATAGAACTTTAGGAGCATAGAGAGAAATTACCTGATCCACGATAAACAAGTCTTGATCTAACTTGCCAATAATAAAACCAAGATTGAATTGCCCAATTACCTACAAAACAGAGAAAAAAAGAACAATCAGTTGTCACCAGGATAAACTTATCCCAATGTCCGCTACAGAACTACAATCAATAACACATGCAGTTATGCTAACATGTGAATGGGAGATGATGAATTAGACCGCATGGGCTGCCACAAATCCACAATTTCTGAGTCAAACTTTACTTCCCAGGATTAAGAGATCTAGCTGCCCGAATCCTTTCAAGTTTAATGCACAAGCTTGGAGGAGCATAGCTCTCCTCTAAACATCATAACAAAACTGATTTCACTACCACACATCAAAAAATAACCATAACCCGAGCCTTAATTTTTTTACCTAGGACGTTAGAGATTCAGTTAGTGGATAGCTGAGTGAAGAAAAGTACCAAGGAAGGCCCAAAATAAGCATAAGAGACCCATCAATGCAATCATCGTCAAGAAGCCTCCATCTGATTTATCAGACTGAATGCACCAAAATCCCAAACATACAGCTTTCCTGATTTTTTTTTCTTCTCTAAATTGATTAGAATAAAAGAAATAAGAAGCTTCTTTTGGACCACACCTCCCAGATGTAATGTATAGATGCCTATTCAAAATAATAAAAAATTGAAATTCAAAAAACTGCATGAACCATGAACAACTGAACAATAACACAAATATTGGCAGGCAGGCAGGCATCCATCTTTACCTTCTATCTGTGCCAAGCACTATCATATTTATGTGTGCTCTCAATGTGCATTTGAGATTGAAGGGTGAAGTAGACTAAACCAAACCATCCAATTTTTTATTGGGTTAAATATTCCTAAAGCCAACCCAAACATCAAAGCACCCCAACAGAGCAGGTTTCCAAGTTGGAATTAGAATTTCCCAACTTAACAGACAAATTGTTTTTGTCCAATAAAACAGGATCAAAAGCCAGAAAGCATTTTTTCGAGGTGGCAGCCCATCTAAATCATCCCAAGAGATGCACACTCATGCATGCCCACACATGACATATCGGGCCACTCTTGTCAAGCAAACATTGTGCCTTGAGCTAATGTTGGAATGAATCTATTTGTACAAACAATTAAAAGAAGCACAAAACCTTCATTCTACTAAAGTCTTCCTTTTTGAATAGCCTTTCCAGCTCATTTGTAGCTGCAGCTAAAGCCTTAGTTTTCAATTCTTCATTTACCATTTGAGAAAGCTCTAGTGTTGCAGCAGTGAAGGACCTGTGACTGATTAAGAACTACATCAGTTACAAACAGAAACAAGCTCACTTTTTTCTTATTCAAAGTCTTTGAGGGTCAGTTTGATGTTTTAAAAACCTTTTAATTTTCATTTTTCGACATGTATAATTGCTGGACTGCAATCTTGACAGCCTCTGCTGCCTCCTTGTCCTCAAGTCCTTAAAACTAAATTGCAGGGTAGAACATATCTTTACACCACAAGAAGGCGGCATTGGAGTAACTGAAGGTGAAATAGAAGATTGTAATGGAGGAGCTGCATCTGAACGATCTTCTGACATATTCTTGAAATGTTCACTAGATGGAGCAGTTAATACATCAGCAAGAAGTAAATCTTTCTTCTGATTCTTTAAGGCCTGAAAATGAAATTATTCAACTCAGAAGCAAAAAGATGAGGGAAATACTAGAAGCAAACAATTAGATGATGAAGGTAATCTGTAGTTACCAACACATTAGTCTACCAGATTATACTTTCCATTGAACTTGGAATTAATTCCACCAAAATTCTGGTCAATCATCACTTACATAAGTCCCTAACGTAAAGTTTTCTGAATTAGTGTAAAAAATCAATGCAGGAGAAAACCTTTTTTCCCCACTGTTTAAGATGGAAAGGAACATGTTATAAAAGGAAAGTACATAGACTGGCATACCTCTCTAGATTCTCCATTGTTTATGTTGCCTCCAGAACGGAATGGAATGTCTGTTTCACCAAAGACTTCATCTGCTCCAAAACAACTAGAAAGCTCAACCTCAGCCTCAGCCTCAGCATCAGCATCAGCATCAGCATCAGCATCAGCATCACGGTCATTCTTGCAAACTTCAGAAGAATCATCAAGTTTGTGACAATTGATTGGATGTCTCAAACCTGCAGGATGCATTGTGGAATTGTTTTTGCTTGATTCACAAGGAATAGCTCTATTTCTCAGGAGAGGCAACTCAGATAAAGTTGTACTACTGCTTTCATGTTGTCTCTTATTTATGGTTACAAATTTGGTAAGTGATGACTGAACAATATTTACGTGACTACGTGAATCTATAGTTTCATCAGTAACTTTCCCTATTGCATTGGAATTGAAAGGAGACTGTTGATCAGTTGTAGCACTATTGAGATGATCTTGCTCACTCTGGCGCATAAAAAAGCTATCAACCATCTTCTTACTGCCATGGGCTCTAAGACTGAATTCTTCTCCAGTTGAGCTTCCATCATTGTTGGTCGCCATTGCACCAAAAGGGTCCCTAACGTGCTCTTTGGCTGTTGTGAGAAGTATCTCACAATCTCCACATTGTCCATCACTGAATGAGTCTTCCTTCGGATCACTGCTGACAGGAGACAACTGTTTCGACATCAATGGTGATCTCTCATGACCAGAATACAACTTGGACCTATTTTCTTCCTTACTGGTCTCCTCAACTTTATTAACAGAATAACTTACATGACTTGGTGAGTAGATATTTTCTAAAGCTCCCCTTAAGGAGTGTAAAATGGAGCCTTCATCAGAAAAGAATACTTTTCTTTTATCAGGAGTTACATTGACATCACAAGCTACAGTTGGAATTACAAAATTCATGATTGCAATTGGATATTGCCTGGAGTTTGCACTTTTGTATAACTCATTCACAAGCTTGCCAACTTTGGGCATATCCACTGGTCGACCATTTACAAAAAAAAACTGCCTATCTCCCAAATTGCGTCCGCTTCCATATCCAGACTTGGAAAGATAACCATCGACCTTGCAATTGTCTGATATACATATATTCACAGGTTCTAAGCAGGAAAAGGTACTCATGCCAAACACTGTAATGATGTTATCTTTAAGGGAACCACTTCCTTGTGTTTTGAGTACTACAGACTTCATGTTTTTCCCAGTTGTATTGGTGCAAACAAAGCGAACTCCTTTTGCAATAAGAGCATAGGCCTGAAAATCAAGAAATAACTTCAGATCAGATGAGACATGGTCACATTACTCCAAAGATAACTGGTTACTGCATACTGAACTAGTTGATTGATAGAAAAGTATATTCATTTCAATTCATAACTCCATTATCAAAGTATAGCATACATGTAAACAATAATAGAACTTACCTAGTCAAGCATCACTCAAGCAAATTAATAAAATTAAATCAAGTAATACACAGTAGTGCAACATGAAAATAATTGGTCATACAAATGAGTAACAGACAAAAGTTTTTCCAACCGGATGTCCAGAATCATAATGTCAAGTAGCATGTCATAGATCCAATGCAAGAAGCTTTGCACTTTTCACTAGATGAGGAGTTGTGAGCACAAGCATCAAGCTTAGGATTTTTTTATGCAGGTAATTCCTATTAAGACAACATATTGGTTGCATTACTCCAAAGACTGCTACTCTCAAAATTTTTATTATCCCTATCCACAGCATATCTGAATTCTCAAAACTTTGTTTTGGTATATCTAATTTGCTTACCTGGCAAAACAAAGTTTTACTTACATTCAATAAAGATATAAGTTTTCCGTATTCTTTGCGAATGTTGCGATGGAATTCTTTGCTCCGCACTGGCAAATTGCAAAACAACTTCTTAACAGTGACAGTAGTACCGATTTGACGCGCTGTTTTTCTTTCAGCTGATAAGAGACCAGAATGGTCAAAAGTCAAGTGTGTCGCAACCGATTCATTTTTTGTTCTCGTTTCAACTGTCAAGTCCCCTAAAGCACATAGAGAACTCAGTGCCTCCCCTCTGAAGCCAAAAGTGGTCAATGATTGAAGATCGGGAAATTCTGCTAATTTAGAAGTGTGATGCTTCAGTGCAAGAACCTGCAAAAAGTAATACAAGACAGTGAATACCCAATAAATATCTAAAGGCAAGCTTCTGAATTTGAGCAAAGAGAAAGTAAACAGGAACATTTTTTAGGGAATCAGCTGAGGGTAGTGTAAGAAAAATCGGTAGAACTGAACAGCCTGCTCAACGGAAATTTCAGTTTTTAAAAACTTTACACCAATTCAAATCGAACGAACCAAAATATTATATTTAACTACTTTTATATTTTAATTCTTTGAGTATTAGAATATAAGTGACCGATGATACATTTTGTAATAAAGGCATATATAGAGCAAACTTCACCAATTCTCTTCATTTATTTCCATTGTGAGATTCTACAAATTGAATTTCCACTGAACTCTAGCATGCAATCATTTCGGTTACTCAAGCAACAAAATTGAAGAGTTTGCAGCACTGACTGAACCGAACTGAACCCTTTACACCCCCAGAATCAACACTGGACAGTAATATAGAGAATCAATAAGACCGCATAGCTCATGGATCAAACGTGCTCTGAGATAGAATTAATTAGTATAGTTCTGTATATTGTGAAAGCTAGACAATAGAGATCATCACTTTTCGGAGATTTATACATGAATTGGAGATGATTACCTTGAAATTATTAGGCGAAATGCCACAACCATTATCGATGACCTGGAAACATTCTTCACCATACTCTTTCAAGGCGATCTCGATGCTAGTGGCACCGGCGTCCAAGCTGTTCTCTACCAATTCCTTGACGGCGGACGAGAGGTCGAGAATCACTTGTCCAGCGCAAATTCTATGAACTACGCCCTTGTTAATGGGCTTAATGGTTGGAGAAACGACTGGTGTAGCCACTGCGCCTTCTTCCATTGAAGCCCCACAAATCTAATGAAAATCACAGCATCACCGACAATTTCGAACTCATATGATCAGGATTGCGAATAATTTTAACGTAGTGTTCATCAAAAGCAACGATTGAAGGTGTTGGGTTCTGAATTAATCGAATTTCGAAAGAGATTTGAATCGAGAGAGCGATGTATAATATAACAGAAACCCTAGTTCACAAACCTTTACCTTCGAGCCTTTGCCGCCAAAAAAACAACCAAAAGCCAAACAGACCTGGAGGTATTTATATTAGTAATTCATTTGTGCTGAAAAAACACGACATGGTGAGGTGTCGTGGTGTAGTTGGTTATCACGTCAGTCTAACACACTGAAGGTCTCCGGTTCGAACCCGGGAGTTCACATGTTTTTGTTTTTTTTTTAAAGAAATGGTTACATGTCCGGGTCGGGCCACTTTTGAAAGGTGGGCTTGGACCCGGCCGTTAAATTATTAGTATTTAAGGTCAAGTTTGGCTACAAAGAAAAAAGTGTACTTATTTCATCTTTTTATCTTTTTTGGGTCACATCAATCAACATCTCCTCTCTACTTTTTCTACACATAATACAAAAAAAGTCAAAAAGTACACTTATTTAGTCTTCCCAAACTAGACCTAAATTATAGGTCCTATTACTTAAATTTTTTAAGTCCAACTATAATAAAACCAGTCCATCTACAAATTATTTTATATAATATGAGTGGTTTTATGTTGTTATTTTTTTTTAATAAACAAAAATTGTGTATAACTAGTCTTGGAAAAATATCTCCATCAAATTAGTCATCCTTTAAATACAACTTTTCAACAAGCTCTTTACTTTCTTTTCTATTCAAATTTTTTGTGAGGATTTTTTTTTAAGATCCCTGATATTAAGATTTTATAGTATAAAAGACACTCAGTATTTTCATAATGTCTAAGGTCCCTCAATATCAATTTAGAGAAAATTCGATCCAGAAATTAGGACTGAGCAAGGAATCCGTGAAATTCGTAATCCGATCCGATCCAGTCCAGTCCAATCCAGTAGGTTTGGATTAGTTTTTTGAATCCGTGGTTCGATTTCGGATTGAAAAATTAAAAATCCGTAATTCACGGATTAGTTTCGGATTGGAATCGATCCGGATCGTATACAAATAGTCTACATTTTTATTATACGCCCTACTGCATAGTATCTTCTCTTATTTCATATAAAACTTAAATCCAAACCTAAACTTGCTAGTTTTTAGTGTTAATTTGTAATGATTTAAATACTTATGGTGGAACTAATTTTCTTATAGTTGTTTAAATTTTAGAATAGTTTGTCGCTATTATGAAAAGACATGTTACTATTGTGAAACTAATATGATAGAATATTTATATTTTAATGAAATTAAAGTGTCATATATATTTTTTTGTTATTTAATTATGTAAATCCGTGGTCCTAAACCGATCCAATCTGTGTTTAAATGGATTGGTTTGGATTGATTCCACGATTTGAACAGATTGGATTGGTTCCAATTTTTCAGGATCCGTAGATAACGGATTGGTCTTGATTTACTCCAATCCGGACCATGCTCACCCCTACTAGAAACTCTAGATCGAATTTCCTCTGGATTTCACAGAGAAATTCTAGTTCATAGAGAATTTCTCTGGACAAATTTTCTCTGGACTTCACAGAGAAATTTTGGTTCACAAGGCTTCATTATTATTGAGAATTTCTCTGGACTATAAATCTGTAATTTATTGCAAGGAGTATTCACAAGGCTTCAAAATTTCTCTGCTTTGTTCTTACCAGATCTAGAGAAAATTCAAACCACTCTAGAGAAATCAAATTAAGTCTCTCGCAATTTCTCTACTTTGTTCTTACCTGATCTAGAGAAAATTTAAACCACTCCAGAGAAATTATTTCTCCATAGAAATTCTTTGATAGTCTTCATCATCATCATCATCATCATCATTTTCTTTCTACATCAAATAAGCAGCTGTAGCAGCACCATGAAAGCCATAGAAGCAACAACACTTTGATAGCATCAACACAAATGTACAACAAGACAAATGATTAACTGGAGGTAGCATGAGGCAATAACAGTATCAACTCCACCTATCAATGGCTCGATTTGACCCTTCTAGAATAAGCTGGATAACAAGCAGATACAACAACTGCAAACTAGCCACCTATAATCTCACTTGAGTCAACAACAACTCAAAGAAAAGAGAAAAACAAAAAAAAACCCAACCACAACTCTAGAGAAATTCAACAGACTTGATTATCTTTAAACAATCTCTCCACGAGCACTTCTCTCCCAAGCTCTTTAACACAACGTGCAATTTCTTCGTCAATATCAATCCATTTCCATCCTAGCCCTAACACAGGCCCAAAGCCATCAGTGTACTTGCAGGACAATGGCATTTTACAGAGACGAAGAAGAGGTCTAAACCAGAGAAATTCTCTCCAAACTAGAGAAAATTGAAAATGTCCAGTAAATATCAGATGGGCTATTCCAAGATGATAAAATAATAATTAACTCAGTTAATGTTATTTAGTTATACTAGAGAAATTTGAAGACTACTTGAATTTTAAATTTCAAAACTCATTAAAGCCTTAAAGGGCATCTAACTTGGTATGTTGCATTTGCAATGAAATTCTCGTCTAATAAAATATTGCTGGACTTAATGTCTCTATGGTACAGTGGAGGATCACAATAGAAATATAAGTACTCTTGCATGTGGGGATATTATGGGAATCCAAATTTCTCTAGACTGGACTTCTCAGAGAAATTCAACAGACTTGATTATCTTTAAACAATCTCTCCACGAGCACTTCTCTCCCAAGCTCTTTAACACAACGTACAATTTCTTCGTCAATATCAATCCATTTCCATCCTAGCCCTAACACAGGCCCAAAGCCATCAGTGTACTTGCAGGACAATGGCATTTTACAGAGACGAAGAAGAGGTCTAAACCAGAGAAATTCTCTCCAAACTAGAGAAAATTGAAAATGTCCAGTAAATATCAGATGGGCTATTCCAAGATGATAAAATAATAATTAACTCAGTTAATGTTATTTAGTTATACTAGAGAAATTTGAAGACTACTTGAATTTTAAATTTCAAAACTCATTAAAGCCTTAAAGGGCATCTAACTTGGTATGTTGCATTTGCAATGAAATTCTCGTCTAATAAAATATTGCTGGACTTAATGTCTCTATGGTACAGTGGAGGATCACAATAGAAATATAAGTACTCTTGCATGTGGGGATATCAAATTAGGACAAAGTGAATGTCACAAGATAAGAATTATATTGCAAATGAATCTAGTAGATTTTGAAACTATAGTCTATTGGCTCATAGGTAAGCATTATTTTGCAGATTACCAAGGCATTTGCCACATCAATGGCAATTTGAATTCTAGTCTGCCAACTCAAAGGAGTTCTACCTGGAGCTGCACATAAATACAGAGACATTTACGACTTACTAAAATAAGCCAACTCTAAAGATTTAATTTTCGTTGCATGATCTCTAGACTAATATCAAAAACCCTAGAACCTTTCACAAATTTCTTTAGACTAACATTCAAATTTCTCTGGGTCTCTGGACTAATATCAAAACCCTTGAACCTTTCACAAATTTCTCTGGACTAACATCAAATTTCTCTGGATTTCTAGACTAACATGAAAAACCCTAGAACCTTTCACAAATTTCTCTGGACTAACATCAAATTTCTCTAAATCTCTGGACTAATATCAAAAACCCTTGAACCTTTAACAAATTTCTCTGGATGATATTGATAACAATCGTCTGTGCATATTTTGCATATTTTCAAAACAAGCTTGTGCAGAATCAGAATCGAGTATTTTCTTTGATGAAATATGATCATTTGTTCAAATTTGGAAAAGAATATAACAAAATTTCTCTGATCGGTGTGAGACGATGACAGTAAGGGATGAGACGTTCTTAGATTTGAGCCTTGATATTGAACAACATAGTTCAGTAATGAGCTGCCTTAAAAATTTCAGTTCCACTGAAACTCTGAATGCTGAGGACAAATTCTTCTACGATAAGTGATGCATGTAGAATATGCTCATTCCTTGTTTTTTAGTGGGGTAAAGAATTAATTATACAAAATAATAATAATAATAATAACAATAATAATAATAATAATAATAAAGAATAATTAATTTTTTGTTCCTCAAAAGCAATTTACAAGAAGCCCAGAAGAGGATGAAGAAAAAGAAACTGCCTCAGGTCCTGGTCATTCATCTGAAGTGTTTCAAATACGTGGAACAGCTTGGTCAGAACAAGAAGTTGTCTTACCGTGTTGTGTTCCCTCTAGAGCTGAAACTGAGCAACACCATGGAAGATGACGACTCTGAATATTTCTTATTTGTTGTTGTCGTTCATGTTGGGAGTGGGCCAAACCACGGGCACTATGTTAGCCTTGTGAAAAGCCATGACCATTAGTTGTTCTTTGATGATGAGATCGTAGAGATGATCAATGAGTTTGCTGTTCAAACTTTCTTCGGATCTGCTCAGGAGTATTCGAGTAACACAAAGAGAAAGGGTTTGGAAAAGATCGGAATGTGCACAAAGAGAGAGGGTTTGGTTTGGATAAAATGAAGATGAGAGAGAGAGAGAGAGAGATGCAAATTTCTCTGATCTGCTATATAGGTATGGATTTAGGGACCTTGGACATCAAAAAATAATATTGTGGGTCACTTTCATTACTAAAAATAAGAAATAGACCTTAGATTAATTTTTTCTTTTTTGGGGATTTTTTTTTAAGGTCCCTAATATTAAGATTTTATAGCATAAAAGACACTCAATATTTTCATAATGTCTAAGGTCCCTCTACATCGATCTAAAGAAAATTCGATCCAAAAACTCTGGATCGAATTTTTTCTAGACTTCACAAAGAAATTCTGGTTCACAGAGAATTTCTCTGATCGAATTTTCTCTGGACTTTACAAAAAAATTCTTGTTCATAAGGTTTCATTATTATTGAGAATTTCTCTGGACTGTAAATTTGAATTGTTGAGAATTTCTCTGGACTATAAATCTGTAATTTATTGCAAGGTGCATTCACAAGACTTCAAAATTTCTCTGCTTTGTTCTTACCTGATCCAGAGAAAATTCAAAGCACTCTAGAAAAATTCAAAATTTCTTTGCTTTGTTTTTACCTGATTTAGAGAAAATTCAAACCACTTCTTACCTGATCTTGTGAAAATTTAAAGCACTCAAGAGAAATTCTTTCTCCAGAGAAATTCTTTGATAGTCTTCATTATCATCATTATCATTGTCTTTCTACATCAAATAAGCAGCTGTAGTAGCACCATGAAAGCCATAAAAGCAATAGCAGTTTGATAGCATCAACACAAATGTACAACAAGACAAATGATTAACTGAAGGTAGTATGAGGTAATAACAGTATGAACTCCACTCATCAATGACTCGATTTGACCCTTCTAGAATAAGCTGGACAACAAGCAGATACAACAACTGCAAACTAGCCACCTATGATCTCACTTGAGTCAACTACAGCTCAAAGAAAAGAGGAAAAAAAAAACAGCCACAACTCTAGAGAAATTCTGGGATAAGATGGTGACAGCAAGGGATGAGACGCTCTTAGATTTGAGCCCTGATATTGAACAGAATAGTTCAGTAACGAGCTGCCTTAAAAATTTCAATTCCATTGAAACTTTGAATGTTGAGGACAAATTCTTCTACAATAAGTGCTGCAGGTAGAATATGTTCATTCCTTGCTTTTTAGTGGGGTAAAGAATTAATTATACAAAATAATAATAATAATAATAAAGAATAATTAATTGTTTGTTCCTCAAATGCAATTTACAAGAAGCCCAGAAGAGGATGAAGATAAAGAAACTGCCTCAGGTCCTGGTCATTCATCTGAAGTGTTTCAAGTACGTGGAACAGCTTGGTCAGAACAAGAAGTTGTCTTACCGTGTTGTGTTCCCTCTAGAGCTAAAATTGAGCAACACCATGGAAGATGCCGACTCTGAATATTCCTTATTTGCTGCTGTCATTCATGTTGGGAGTGGGCCAAACCATGGGCACTATGTTAGCCTTGTGAAAAGCCATGACCACTGGTAGTTCTTTGATGATAAGAACGTAGAGATGATCGATGAGTCTGCTGTTCAAACTTTCTTTAGATCTGCTTAGGAGTATTTGAGTAACACAAAGAGAGAGGATTTGGAAAAGATCGGAATGTGCACGAAGAGAGAGGGTTTGGTTTGGATAGAATGAATATTGAAGAGAGAGAGAGAGTCAAATTTCTCTGATTTAATATATGGGTGTGGATTTAGGGACCTTAGACATCAAAAAAATAATATTGTGAATCTCTTCCATTACTAAAAATAAGAGAGGGACCATAGATTAATTTTTCTTTTCTTTTTTCAACTCCAAATTCAACATTGTTCATTTTATTATTTAAATTCATTTATAGAGACTTTCCAATCGTAGGTTAGATGTAAATGAGGCATTTGGAGCTCAACTAAAAATTAGCCAGCAAGGTGATCTTGTCGAAGTACATTTTCCATTGAATGAGTTTGGTGGGGATGCTTTGAAAAAATTTTGTTAGAAAAATTTAAATTAGAAGGGCAAATATTTAATTAAATAATAATAGTTGGGTAGGCAAACAACCATTAAAATAATTATATTAAATATTTAAAAAGATTTCTTTTTTCATATTTAGACAAGTTTGAGAATAACGCATAAACTAAAGTTTAAAGTGGGCAGACGGACCTTCAATAATTTATTTCAAATGTTGTTATGTAATAGTCGACACAACAGAAAGTATTTTTGTTTTGCAACACCTCATCAGACAAACTCGTCAACCCACTACGGAAAACAAAAAATTATCAAAATATTATTCCAAAATGACTCACCCAGAATGAAAACTAACTTAAGCAAAATACGTGGACAACTCAAAAATTTATTTATTTTTTGCTGAACTCATAATCTTCACTCTCATTACTGTTCGTCTTCCCCAACTTTCTTCATTTTTCAAACAAATACATTAATATATAGGCCCTACTAACAAGACATTTGTAATAATCACTTGCCAAAAATTTAAAATAAATAAATAAAAATATCCAGTTATTCAATGTAAAGATGGCTGCTAAAATTCCTACAATGGCAGCTAGAAGAGGGTATGAAAATTTTCCACCCCCAAATTTCATCTATTAGTGTAACAATGTACTCAAGGGTCCACCACAGCATACCATCCCAAATAAAGCCCAAATTAACTGCACTTCCATGTTGAAAAACCGCTGGTCACTTTACCAGAATTGCAAAACTTTTGCACGTCCCCCCCCCCGCCCCCAGCCAGAAAAAAACAAAAACAACTGCGAACTTAGATTACATTCTCAAATTACATATCACGGTTACCTTCATGTTCAATTTGCACACATGGATCAGAATCTCATTTGAAACTTCTTGTACATATATAAAATTCACAAAATGGGGGATCCTCTGTACATCAAGCATCAAGTACGAATTATGCTAGAAAAATATAAACAATATCACAGGTCTAAACAAACAAAATAATAATAGTCATTCATGTGACTGGAACTGAAATCATCTAAAATAAAGGTCAGTTTCCTTCTAATTTTTTGTCATTTTCTCTTTTGATTGATCAGCTCCACGAGATATAATTTTGTCCCAACGATTGTTTCTGTTTTGCACCAAATATTTTCCCCTTCTAGAATGAAGGCATCCAAAATTTTAAGAAAAGAAAAACAATCCAGTTTCAGAAAAGAGACGAGCTTCAATAAAAATCAAACAGGAAGACGCTTATTAAATAAATTAAATTGTATATACAGACAAAAGGGAGACTTGAGTAGCGAAAAAAATGTCATAAAGCAAGCCTACAAAATATTTTAAAATTTCCAATGGATCTAAATATTATACATGACGGCCTGAATAGGGACCGGGGTTATAGGTGGGAGGGAGCTGCAACGAAATTTCTCAAAGCAGGTCCCAAAGATCACCGAGGGGCTTTGATTGTGAAAAGGAAAAAGAACCATAAACTAAACAAGGAATTCTATACACTTAAATACCTCCTCTCCTCTACATGAAGTAGCTGAGGGATCTCTTCTTCCTTGATCCACCTTCTCCATATAAATCATTCCACTGAAGGAGCTCATTCATGTTTGCAGACTCGGATGACACACTCGCACACAACTGCATTGGAGAAAAAAGAATTAAAATGAGGCTTAGTGTACCATCGATACAGAAATAAATCATGCAAATCAAGGAAGAGAATAACTCCATTAGGCCCATGAACATCTACAGCAATTGAATGATCAAAGAAGAGGGATAGATGTAATTCTTACAGATCCACCAAACCCACACCCAAAAAATGCTTGTAAAACATATTTTTCCTCTATAGAGAAGTTGATTAACTTCTTTTGGGCAATCAAAAAATCATTCTATATAATAATTCCCAGTAGAATCCAGAATAAAATTACGAGAAAAGAAACATAATGGCTCGTCACTTTCCAATAACCACCAATCATACCTGTTCATGTGCATATTTTAAATCCTCCATGCTTAGAGACCGAACGTCTGCACTGCTACGCAATGCAGGTAATGGAATGTTCTCTGCCAATGCCAAAGCTTTCTCCTAAAATTGTGCAAATATATTATGAGGTTGACTGTTTAAAGGAGAAATAATAATAATAATAATAATGTGTAGTCAATAGCATAATTTCATAATCCAATCCAATATGTAAACTCTGGGCAGTCCTATATACAAATGCCAACAAGTGAGCTAAAATTAAATTCAAATTAATTTTTTTAAAAATGATTCATGTAGCCAACCCCACTTGATTGGAACACAAGGTTTAATTTGGTTTGGTTTGGTCTCCTTCTTAATAGAAGCCTAACGACTATGAAGGGGTTGTTAAAAATAACTAATTAGAGTTAGCTTCTAGATTTTTTATTTTGAAAATTTTAAAGTCGGATACACCAATAATATGCACGCATTCTTGCATTGGACCACGAGTGTGACCTAGCTTTAGGCTTGAGTCGAGATGCCCCTCAGATGACTGGCATCACCCCTAAACTTGACTGGGGATTTTATGCTCAAGCACATTGCCTGTCGCTCGTGGTGAACACATTCCAAGTCCCCTCCGACCAACCAAGCAGTCTGACCGAACATGTCTCCAATTCTAGAATTATATGCTCACTCCTAAGCTGAATGACCCATCTCCACAACTGTTCTGACAGCTTGGCTTGCTTGAACAGTCCCACCAAACGACACCTCTAAGCAGGCTTTGATGACAATTATCTAAGCTGGAAGCAAAGCCTAGACACCCTAACTTAGGATCACTTGAAGACTTATTGTTTGGAGTAAGGATCTGGCCTCCCCCTCTCTCGAAGGGATCTCCACCACCACTGATCTTAGAGAAAGAGAGGGGGACAACCACAAGAAGACTAAGAATTTTGGCCAAGGCATCACACCTCAAAATTTGTATCATAAACAATATTGCAACTCTCTTGATATAGCCCTTAAAGTTAAGACTTAACCTGCCTACCAAATGAGAACCCATGATAGAAATTTCAAGTCAGATCATGGCACAAAAGGTAGTTGGGACACCTCTAGATTGTTGAACCAAGGCAGTTGAGCCACCTGTCTACGAATGGGCTGTCCCCGGGCTCAACCCAATGGAGACTATGCATGCTAGGTATACATATCACCATTTATACTCCCAACGGAGTATCTTTACTGCCTTCTCTTCTCTCTTAGACAGCCTTGGCTCTCTCCTCCATCTCCAGTAACCCTAAGCCATCTCAGTGCCCACCATCTTTCCAAAAGGTCCCACCTAAACACCTCATCACCATGCATTCACAAAACTATTTTCAATATTAAAAATAAAACTAAACTTTGAAGTTCACTTTAAAATATTTTGATCTTTTCTACAGGACACACCCACCCCCACCCAGTTAACAAACACACTCCATTAATAAAACAAAACAGAAGAGGTAAAAAAGAGCTTGTTTTTTAGGCAGAAAACATACAGAAGATATCCAAAGGGATCTATTGACATCAAAGTCAACATATCCACAAATTTATCTAAAACTAACCTTCTTTTCCTTCTCCAAAATTTCTCTGATGGGACAATGAGCTGCTGCCACACACAGATTCTGCAACCAAAACCTTAATCAGGGGAACTGAATTTGCCAGAGGCAAAGGAAAAAATTTTAAAATTGAAAAATAGAACTCAACCTTTAAATCACTTCCTGAATACCCATCAGTCATATTAGCAACTGCTTCAAGATCAACATCAGGAGCCAATTCTTCTTTTCCCAATATAACTCTCAAAATTTTTTCCCTGTTTGGAGCATCTGGCAAGTTTACCATCAATCTGCAGGAAATAGGTGTATATTAGACCAGCAATTACGAGACTTTCCATAATAAGCAACAAAAGAACTGAAGAAAACATATTTTTACCTCCGGGGCAGTCGCCTGATGACAGCCTCGTCAAGATCAAAAGGCCTATTGGTGGCAGCAAGAACCAGGACACGTTCCTTATCCTTAGTACGCAGACCATCCCAGTTCACCATGAACTCATTTTTCATTTTGCGCATCGCTTCATGTTCTCCAGGATTTTCACGTCGTCCTAACATGCTGTCAACCTGAAAAAAGAATTTGAAATGGACAAAGCATTTGAAAAGGGAAGAAGGAAAATGATGAAGTAAATAAGAGTTAACACTGAAAATTACAGGGTACAAACTTCTATCATCACTGGAAGAAACACAAGATGACAATAGACTAGAGACTAAACTAACACCATCACCAGGAAAAGAAGCCGAAAGAGATGAAAAAAATAGATGTCTTCATCAAGCAAGAAAGATAAAGAGCAATCTATCAAGGGAAATGATTCCACAGACTAGTTAACCAACCTCATCAACAAAAATAACACTAGGAGCAATTTTACTAGCCAGACTGAACACTGCTTTGACATACTTCTCTCCTTCTCCAAACCACTGTAGTAAGCAATATGAAGATGCCAGTTATTATGCCGATGGAAACACATACAAAAAGTACTCCAAACTTGCCAGTCAAATACAAGTACCTTTGAAGTAATGCTCGACATTGATATGTTGATGAAGTTTGCACCAGCCTCAGTTGCTACAGCTTTTGCAAGCATTGTTTTACCAGTACCAGGGGGTCCAAAAAGCAGTATTCCCTTGCAAGGCTGAAAAGACAGTACCTCGTTCAGAAGCAGAACAAACTTGACAAACTAGCTCAAACTCACGACCAATTTCAAAAAAAAAAAACACACACAAAAAAAAAACTTGAATACCATTTTAAGGAAATCAGTAAATAATTTATGCAATTTAACCTTAGTCAGATGTCCTTTACAAAACAATTCTGGCCTCTGAAGAGGTAGCATGACCAATTCCCTCAGCGTATCCTTCACATTCTCTAGGGCTCCAATGTCATCAAAACTAACCCCAATATCACTTGCTGGAATTACATCTGCAAGAAGCCTCTTCTCAAATTCGTTCTCAGTAACCACATCCTGAAAATGTTACAGTTAAATTACAAGATCAAGTAATAAAACACACTCTGGAATATAAATTTAAAAAAAAAAACAAAACAAAACAAACGCGTGCGTGCACAAACAAACAAACAAACAAAAAAAGCAAAACAAACAAAACCAGGAGAGAGGGACATACTCTTAAAAAAATGATCATACCACATCGACAATCAACTTTACCTTGAGTGATTTCTTCAAACTCTTGGTTTCATTTTGAATTCCTTGTAGAATGTTGATCCCATACCTAATACTGCAAAATTCAAGATGAATGGTAATGTTAACAACAACCCAAAGAAACCAAATCAATATTTTCTCTCTTACAACATTGTCAATAACATAGTTGAAAAACAATATATTGCAACCTTTCACTGGAAATTGTGAGTTTGGCATCTTTAGCTGACACTCCAGAACAATGCATAAAGTGATGACTTAAAGCCCAGCCAATAATTTTCTCCACACCTATTCAAAACAGTAAGAGGACGTCAGTAAACATCAGCATTGAGGTCAAAGTATATCCAAACTGTAAAACTGAAAATTATAATTCATGATAATACAGACTTTCACTTGTCAGGGCTTGATCCTTGATGCATACTGTTTCAAGATCAGGGCACTCCAGCCGATTCCGGTTAAGAATCTGAAATCAAGAAGTTGGTTTCAAATATTTATAGCATGAACTCAACATCAGAAACAACCAGTCTATTCAAATTGTAAAACATATCCTACATTCACCAATCCAAAACCTCTTTGGTGCAAGTTTGTATCATCCCAAACAAATCCATAAAGGATAATCAGTATTTGCAAAAGAACTTCAAACATTTCATACTCTGTGCTAACCTATGAAGCACGGACACGTCCCTGAGGCTTGCGTATTAGTGTTGGACACGTGTCGGACACGGACACGCGTACGACACGCTGTTGACACGTGTCCGACACTCTCCCCTGCGTGTCCCCCTTTTTTCAGAATTTTTCAGAGTCGGACACGAGGTTGGACACGCGAGGACACGATTCAGACACGCAGGTGGGTAGATCGAAGAAGCCCTAGAACTGTTGGAGAGGAGAAAGAGAGAGAGCCAGAGACAGAGACAGATCGAGGGAAGAGAGAGAGAGGGAGATAGGTCGAGGGAAGAGAGAGACAGATTGAGGACAGAGAGAAGAAACCCTAACCTGTTCGTCTTCCTCGTCTCCCTCTCTGCACCTCGATCGACCATCGATCGCCCTCGTTTGACCCTCGATCGACCATCGACCTCGTCTCCCTCTCTGCGCATCGTTTGACCCTCTCTGCTCTCTCTCTCTCTCTCGCTAAAATTTTCGACGCAACCATCGATAGCTATGTACGTTATATACTAACAATATATATACACACATATATATATATATTTATATACTAATAATAAATTATATACTAATAATAAATAATATAACCCCTAACTTTTCTTTTGGTCTTAAATAATATAAATAAATACAAATAATATATTTATTTTTTAATTTTACATATAATAAATAAAATTAGTATATATTTTTTAATTTTGCATATAATAAATAAAATAAATAAATAAAAATAAATACAAATAGTATATATTTTTTAATTTTACATATAATATATAAATAAAATTATATATATTAAACGTGTCCCCAACGTGTCGTGTCCCCCATTTTTTGAAAAATTACGTGTCCGCGTGTCCGTGTCGTGTCCGTATCGTGTCCCGTGTCCGTGTCCGTGCTACTTAGGTGCTAACCAACCACTACTTCTCAAACTTCATGTTAACCACCTTCTCTTTCTATGTGTACAGAGTTGGCAACATTTAAGAGGCCAAATGACATGCAAATGCAATTCAATGTTATTGAAAAAAGCTCTGTATAACAAACTTAAGGATACACTATATGAACACAAACTAACACAAGGTACAAGATCTAGCCACCCCACCAGCTAATCAATCAGGCATCTCGTGTAATACTACTCTTAAGTAAACTTTCAAGCACAGAATGATTTTTTTTATATGTACCTAGTACATAATGAAGTAACCAATATATATATACACACACACACTAGGTTGACTGGGTAAAGACCTAGTGGCACCACTGTCAGCCCCAAGGTGAGTTGCCTACCTGGGTAACAACTACGTTAACTGAAAAAACAGGTGTCTTGCACAAGAAGGTTGAGATTACTCACTGAGCGAATGCTGACAATGTTAGACTGCAATTTCAGAATCTCAATATCATGATCCAATTGATGTTTCCATTCTGAAAGTACAGTTTCATCCTGCCATAGTTTCAACAAAATATTAACAGCTTCCCACATATATTCATGGAAGATAACACTGAACCATACACGGTATGTAGGCTCAATACCTGAGGCATCTGAATAGTCACTTTATTTTGGAAAAGACGGGTGAGTTGCTTCATTGTTTTAGGCGTTTCTTTGCTTCTATCATGCAGTCTACCCAAGTTATCCTGGCAACCCAGTTACATCAGTAATGCATCTTTTGCCTAAGAAAAGAAAGACTTTGGCCTCATGCATCTTATGTTAAAAATATGGCAAAGTTCAAACACAACTGGCAGTTGATCAGAAAATACAATTTCACAATTAACCCTTGAGCACAAGGATTAGGGAACTATTAAGTAAAAGAGCAAGAAAAAAAAGAGTCAATATAAAGGTTTAACACTTAGAAATTAAAAAGCACTAAAAATGTTATGTTAATCAGATAATAGAACGTCATATTTCATCCTACAGCACAAATATTAGAGAGAGATCAGATACTAACAGTAAAGTTACAATCACCATAAAAATTAACACTTCATATAAAAAGTAGTAGAAATAATAATTTAATGAATAATAAAGGCCACATAAGCATAAACCCAAAGCAAAATAGCAAGTCTACAGTTTGCACTAAAGTGAAATTCAATTTCACTTAATATAGAACAAATGAAATTGTTGGCATTCAATTAAGCCCGTACAAACATGGAATTTCAAGCAAAATAGAATGCTGCAGAACACAAAGAACAAGACATACAGTGAAGCTGTAATTAACATACCGGAAAGGCTAGGTCAAGTAGTGCTGTTTGGTTGCTCCCAAATTTTGTAAACAGAAGACCACCTGGATGGGACTGGAAAATATGTATAGATAATATACAGAGTCAGCTATGTAATATAGAATCACAAAACAAGAAGTCCAAAATGTACTATTCTTACTTTCTCCTTGCGGCTGTCCATCTGGGAATGGGAAGCAATGACAACTACATTCTCTGGTATATTATCCAGCTTACTCTTAAGGGCTGCATAAGCCTCTGGATTCCCAGTGATTGATTTCTCTATGTCTTTCAGAAATATAATTAACGGACTGTTTTTACTCTCACTCAAGGCAACCTATAAAATGACACACCTAGGTCATGATAAATAAAATACGAACGAGACACTTCAGGATTTAAAATATAAAACAGGAACACATAAAATGATGTATCCTTCCATACGAAAAACCAGCAAACCAGAATTTACCTCAAACAGTTCGTTTATGGCAAGCTTGTCAACATCATCAGCACTAGAACTATCTAGGCGAAGTAAGTCAGCTGCAATGAAAGAAATCAAATTGAGGAGCAGCCCAAAGGTTTTTTTTTTTTTTTTTTGATATGCAAGGTGCAGCACAAAGAAATTGAGAGAGAGAGAGAGAGAAAAGAGCTGTCAAAAAATCACCAGCACAAAAGAATCCGTGGTCTTCCTCGCAAAGGCCCCCAAGATCATTGCCTTCTGGAATCGATCTATCAAATCTAACCCCAATTTTTGAAGACCCATTTTCTTCAAATGGAAGAAATACTTTGCCTCTGTAACCATATGTTGGGCCCCTGCAGACACCCACAATGATATTTAACATTTTACATTAACAAAATGACTGCATCAAGTATCCAACATTTTATCTTCATCCTATCTAAGCAGAGGCTAGGCTTTCCTCATAGGTATGGCATCATTGCTCTTAGGGGTGTGCATAATACCACCGAAACCGCCGAAACCGTCAAAACCGCACCGCCAAGGCAAATTCGTTATTATTTGCCAATCGAACTGCCGGTTTTTGGTAAGAAAAATGGCAAATTTTAGTGACACTTTTATCAATCCGCCGGTTTCTATTTTTCTTCCAAACCGCACCGACCCGCACCGCTATTAAATCATGTTTTATAAGATTCTAAAAATTCTTTTTTACTTAAGTTTGCTTGTTGTTCTATACCTTAGAATATAGTATTACATTACTGCCCGAGGGGAATTTTATGTATTGTATTTGATCATTGTAGCTTCCACAGATACTTGTAATGAACCGATGGCATAGTCGTTAATATTATCATGTTGTTGCTACACTTGCTGCATCAGAAGAAAGTTTCGCAAGATGCTTAACATCACGATATCTCTCGTCTTTTTTTTACTCTTTGATTTAAGTTTTGTAATTTGAATTATATTTTTTATAAACCGCCAATCCGCCCGAACCGCCAAGGCAAATCCGCCATTATTTGCCAACCGAACCGCCGGTTTTTGATAAGGAAAATGGCAAATTCTAGTGACACTTTTATCAATCCGCCACCCGCTATACGATTTTTATTTTTCTCTCAAACAGCACCGACCCGCACCGCGCACACCCCTAATTGCTCTTATACCTGTCCCATCAATTTGAGTGAAACTATTGTAAATTTGTAATATGTACATGGTCCCATGCACACAAAGATACATACCAACTCCTCCCCCCTCATGGGAGCTCACTTCATACGACACAACACTGGTATATGCATGAGCCATAAGCCTGACAGAACCAAGCTATATAGATATTTAATAGAGAGAGAGAGGGAGAGAGGGAGACAAACGCAATAAAAATTGCCGAGATATCAAACTTAACAGAATGTCCAATCAACATGTAGTAGTTAGATAAGCCTATCTATTTCACTATGGAAAACAAGATTGAAAACTTAAAACAGTTCAGTCGGGTCAAAGTTGGTATAAAATTTGACGATCAGAAATACACATCTACTGCTGACAAGTTTGCCAAAGTCATTATGACATAACATTAGATACAATGGAGAACTGTCCTATGAAGCATGAACACCTCTCCGGAGGTCACACACTGGCCATGAAGCACGTATTCATCAAAAAGGGAGTCATATATGTATCGTATACATCACTCATCAAATATTGCGGATACGTGTCCGATACTTCCTAAACTTATCTAATACTTGATGTTAATTTTTGACAAGTATCAAATACTTTTTGAACACTTTTAGGTCAAGTATCCGAACTATTATATTACAAAATTGAGATAGTAAATAATTTTTGTATAGTATTAGAATATAATTGTTAGAACCCTGGGGGGTTGGCTAGCTCAGTGGCAATCACTTGGCCCTTTGGTGCCTCATGAAGCATCAGGTCTAAGGTTCAATTCCCACTAGAGAGCTATCAATTCCTTAGGGGCCACGCCCGAAGGCTTTAGCCCGAGCTTTGCCCAACCCACGTGGAGGGTACGCTTCGCTTGGGTCTCAAAATTAGTCAAGGCATTGCCTTAGAGACCCGATTATCAAAACAACAATGTACTTATTGAAATAAATATAAGAAGTTTTTTAATATTTCCTTATTTCTTACTGAAAAAGAAAATAGAGATTAAAATAGTACCATATTTTTTTAGATTTTATCAAATTAACGTATCCACGCGCGCGCACACACACACACACCAAAAGTAAACTGATTATTGGCTCCTCATTATTTTTTGAGCTCACATATAATAAACACTAAAAACTATATTTTTTTCAACGTATCCTGGTCGCATCATGGACATACTTTCCAAATGCAATTCTTATATACAGATACAACCTGGCATGAGGTTCCGAGAGCAAAATATATCAGATAATTTGTCTGGTAGCAATTATGATTTTATTTGTCCCGGTAGAATAGATACCTTAAAGGAGGTCGCAGAGGAGAAAATCCAGATGGTAAAGAACCCACAAATTTTACTCTATCACCTGCCAAAATGACCATTGTTGATGCAACTAAGAAGTCAAAAGCTGACTAAAAGATGAATAGTTCAACAGTTCAAAACAGAAAGAGAAAAAACAAGGAAAAAATAGAATCAGGAGAGGAGTATTGAAACCATAAGATAGCCTAATGTGTTCTTTATGAATGCGTTGATTGAGAAAGGATTAGATACCTTTCTTGAAAGTGTAGTTCTTTGATGTCGCTGTAGATGCCTCCTGCTTAGGCTGGGCCTGAGAACTTATGGTAGACCCGCCAGTTATATCAGCCTCAACACTTGAAGCTGGTTTCCTGAGCTGTATTGAAGCTGGTTTCCTGAGCTGTATTGAAGCTGCCTGTCCAGCTCGTTTAGCAAACACACTTGCTCTTTCAGGCCTTGAACTCTCTTTTGAAGAATCAGAATCCTTCAATATCACTCCCTGAATAAATTAGAACACAAAGAAGCTTCATGATGGTCAACTCCTTCACAGCTAAGTATGTATAGCATAAAGACCAAACCAAAGTTATATATTCATTGAAAATAAAATAAAATAAACTTCTACTGCAACGGGTACTAAAATAAAGATGTCGAAGAAGCTTACACCAGGCAGTAAAAGAGAATCAACTATGAGAAGTCTAGCATCAAAATGTTTGGCAAGCGCCTTAGTCAGCGTTTCCTGATATATTTCAGAACCTAGAAAAAAAAGATCAAGGGTAACATAATGTACAAGATTGGAATCAAATACGTGGGAAAAGAACAGAATGTACCAACAGAAACTGGATCATACCTGCAGGACCAGATAACAATATTCTTGGGCACACAGTAGGGAGATCAGAAGTGTACTTTGCAAATTTATTACACTTCAGATGTATATAGGTAGATGTAATCAAAACATTCTTTGTGGTCTCACTGTTACACAGAAAATGATAAGTAAGTCCCCAAACAATATAGAATAAAGCAGATTCCAGCAGTTCAGTCAGGGAAAAATACACTAGTGTATTACACATCAACACATGCATATATTTTAAAAACTTAACAAACTGTTGACATATACAGGGGGAGACAGGGGATTCAAATCATAGCAATCAATAGCAACAGTGGATGGAATAAATACCCTTCTAATATAAATCGCCATCATAACTAATAAATACACAAAAACTATTCAGAACAATGTTCAATAGAAAGAGAGCGCAAGTATTTATCCAAAAATTGTTCTGATTTTTACAATTAATTGATGATGAAAGAAAATACATCAAAGGTTTGAGGCATGCATACAGGTAAGAAAAACAAACATGCTGTGCAGAAACAGAAAATGAATTGTTAGACTTTCAAAACCAAAGTAACTAACAGCTATAAGGACAACAATAACAAAATAGAAAAGCAAATTTATAGTTTCCATTAATTACAATGTCATATTTAAGTTTGCTCATGAAAGCGGTGCTTCTCACATTTTGATTACCAACTACAAAAATATGAAGACACGATGTGAACTGAAAAGCATTAGTTTAAAAGAACATATAAAACAGTCTGAGAATAGAAACAAACAAAAATGTAAGCAGAAGGCTATGCACCTCAATTAACATTTATAAATTATACATAATCAGCAAGCATACATATTTTCTACACGTCCAAAATGATACCATTACAAACAAAACAGTCACAAAAAAAAATTACAAGAAATAAAATAATTGTCAATAGCCTATCTTCGAGGTCAAAGGTCTGCACCTTAAATAATATGGGAAGTTTTCAAATGAAGCTTCAATGTTGTTGGCAGTGAAAATTCCTTCTTGTAACCCATCTTTAAATGCTTGGCTCATCGTTGATGCTAACATTGGGGAATCAAAATCCTTGAGAAGTTCTCTATTTTCCCTTTGCTCATCAAGAATTTTAGAAATGCTGCCACTTAAGTCAAACTCGGAAGCAGGTGATCCTGCAAGCATCTGCAGAAGTGGTCTCAATTCATGAGTTTCCCCAGGGATCTTTCCAATATCAGCATCCCCAGCATCCTCCAATCCAATGGTATCAAGATTCGGGTTTTCAGAAGTAACATCAGAAGATGGAACAACGGCCTTCTCACTTGACGAACCACCGGTCCCATCATCACGAACAGAAGCATCCTTCATTTCAGAATCCAGAATAAGATTATTAGATACGTCGCAAGCAGAAGGTAGTGTAGGGATTTCAGAACCTTGTTGCACATCCTCATCGTTTCGAGATGGTGGTGGAAGAAGAGACAACTCTTTTTGAAGATTCGACAAAGATGCCAAAATTGATGCTCCTGCAACAGCTGAAGCATCTCCTGCTCTTGTCTCAAATTGTAATCCCTTTATTGGACCACCATGGGCTTCTAATATGCTTAACGAAGGTGGCATGCCAGCAGCAGCTAGGTCATCATTGACAAGTTGCTGGAAAATCTGACAAAACCGTTAAGGAAACTTGTTTTGTCTTCCTAAATTGGTTTTGCCTTTAGTGTGACAAGGAGTCAGTTTCTCATTTTCTTATGGTTATTCATTGTAAAGTAGCGAGGGATTTGTGGGGGTTGGTTATGGCATTGTTCGGCATGCATTGGGTTTTCATAGAAATGTGATGGGTTATGTTTGGATGGTGGGGAGGTAGGACAGGGAAGAAAAGGCAGAAGGCATGACAACTAGCTCCTTTGTGCTTAACGTGGCTTTCATGGAGGGAGAAAAACAAGAGGACTATTCAAGGAGCGAAGGAGCCTCTTCATAGGTCTCGAGAGTTGTTTTCTGGCCATATAGTTGGGTCTCAAGGAAGGTAATGCCTACCTATACCATTTTGTAGATTTGATTTCTTCATTTGCAAAAAGCTATAGGTCTTGTTATCTTTCAAGTGTACAGGCCTCTTTTGTTATGAGCGATATAGGTTATCACTATTTAACCATTTGTATAAGGGTCAAATATATTTTAAGATTACCTGAAGCAATATAAAAGCGAATAGTAACTAGAATAAAATGAATATCCATGCAGCTGCTTTGGTGATAAATACAAGTAAAAGAAGGATACATATGCATGTCTACCAGATGAGCTGAAAACCACCTCATCGCCTCCACTCAGAGGTATAGTAGAATTTTTAGCGTAAACTTTGCCATTTACTTGGACAGCACCTTTTCCCCCAATAATCTCAAGTAAGGTGCCAGGAGAACCTCCCCGCTAAGCATAGTAAAAGAGAAATGTAAGTATTATAACTAATTAAGCTGAGTGAAGAACAGGAAAACCAAGGATGATTTTCACACTGCTATGCATTATTTATTGACCTAACAATCTGCACAAACAAATACTGCAGAAAATAATACCTGCAGTTCAGTTGGCCTCAGATTACACAAAGATTTACTAATAGACGGATCTCTGAGCCACAAGTTGCATTGACGGCCTTGACCAACAGTAAAAATAGGACCACTCATAACCATGTGAGGATTCTGTAGCAAATGAATAACTTGAAAGCATTAAACACCATAACATAGTAACTGATGAAGATGCATTCAAATAAAAGATTTTGCATTGCTTACCAAAAAACATTTACTTAGTAATAACATTATAAAACAAAACATACCTAACATTTACTTAGTGATAACTTTATAAAACAAAACTTGAGAACCATTAACTAAGCCTAACCTTTTCCAATCTTAATCCAGCCAAGTCAGGCTGCCTTGAATAGTTAATTGGGTACAAGCCTAACCTTTGACATCATTTGCATGATATACCAGATCTATTTTCTATCCATTGGAAATAAAAAATAACATTCTATCCCTGAAAGAAAAAAGGTAAAACAAATGAAAATTGATTTTCCCCAAGAGCCAATGCACTGCATGCATCAAACCAGGACTCTCGGAGGTTAAACAATAAAAAGGGAACTCCACCTTTATTCACAAGAAATAGCTGTTTTGTTGAAATGTTGGCATAGAATCGAGAGAGATTATCTTCTTGAGGGAAAAAATAAATAAAAGAGCACACACATCAAAATACCTAAATCATGCTAATCTTATACTCAGCGATGTTCCACTCTGCTTTTTCGATGGGCAAGTCTCCTAGAGGAATAAGTCTGGCAATTTGGCAAATAATGGAATTGATGTGAAAGGCACACTTGAGAACCCTTGAGTCATGAAAGCTTGAAAACGAACAAGAGTGGGAGGAAAAGCCCCTGCCCATGACATCAAGATAATTAGGACATAATGTCTTCAAGATCCATCAAGGATAATGAGGAGTGAACTCCTTGAGTACCCCTAGTTGGGTCCCCCTCTGCTCCAAGACTGCTTGTACAATATCAGTTAGAGCTCAAAGCAAAACATTACTCCCTCAAACATGGGAAGAGTGAGATCCTCAAGAAAGGAATCTCCTTCACACTGATAGTACCCAAAAAAATGTCCTGCCTAGTTGGCTGGGAAAACCAGGTTGGCACCTTCAAAGCTTGGTACGCGATTATAGTACGGCCTAATGGTTACCTTATAGTCCTTCCTAGGACAAGTGAATAAAAAGTTCGAAATAGAGGCAAGTACATAGTCACAATATTCTTACCAGAGGGAAACAAACCAATTTCGTGAAAAAGCAAAATAGCAGACTGACGCATATAATTAAAATACTCAAGATACAAGAAAAATATAAGTCTTACTATGCCACAATTACAAAAGAAATTAACATACAGAACCATCAATTTAGTTGAATGCCAAACCCATGACATAATATTTTAGTTGTGGTAGTTACCATAGAATTCCAAGCGTCTTTTTTTTTATTTTTTATTTTCTTTCTAGCAAAATGTTCACAAGAAACAAGAGAATAAAGGAGATTGAAAACTGAAGACCAACCTGAGAGCACTGAGAAAGAAGTTTTCCCCATGCGACCTTGACATTTGATTTCAGTTGCCGTTTCCTTGGCCAAATAAGCTTCGTCTTCTTTGTAAGCTTCGTCTTCTCCGCATCCATGGCGGAATCACCTTAAATCCCATTAGCCAAATAAAAAAAAACTCCACATACCCAAGAAAGTCAAATCACAAACAAAAGAAAAAGAAAGAAACGCACCTGGAGACACCAAATGCTCGCCTTCCAGTTGAACATCTAGGGATTTTTCAGGCACAGTAGCATCAAATCCATCGACACGAGGCAGATCAGATCGAACCTCTTGCTCTCGAGATTCACACCCCGATTCCTTCTCCGGAGCTAGGGTTTGGGCCGGGGGTGAACAAGGTGTTTCGGTAGTCGATGACGAGGCCTCCACCACCTACCATGCAAACACATCAAATTCCCACAAATCCAAAACAGATACACACAAATTCATAAACAAATCGATAAACCTTGCCCTAGATTGGGAAGAAAAAGGAAAAAAAAGAAAAAGAAAAAGAACCTTGGATCGTTTGCCGTTGGGGAGAGAAGATGAGGAAGGAGAACGTTTTGAGGAAGATGAGCTCCGCCTGGTTTCAACCATGTCGATCTTTCTCTGATCCAAAGCTTGTTGAGAAGAATCAGAAGAGAGAGAAGAGAAAACGGAGGGTGAAGATTGCGGAGGGAGATCAGTTATGGAGCTCCCTGTTCTCAGATTTTTATAATGTTGAGAGAGAGAGATAGAGAGAGAGAGAGATTATGAAGCAGAGGGAGTAGGGAACAAAAAAAATTTGATGAGATGAGAAAATAAATGATGGGTTGGTGTTTGTTTGGTCAAAGTAGTGGATCGGATCCGGTTTGTATTATGAAAATTTTATATAATTTTTTTAATAAAATTATTTGATAATAAAATTCACATTAATAATATAATAAATATAAATAAAAAAATCATTACATATACATTAAATTATGTCAATCATCATAAGGGTTAGTTTGGGGTATACTAAATAATACAAAAAGTTAAAAAATCACTATCCTATTTAAGTTACATCATCTTATTTAAATCACATCACCTCTCTAACACATCACATCAAACCCAACCTAAATCCAATCCATATAAGTCAATAAGTCAAAAAATACACTTTTTTAGAACATCCCAAACCAATCCTAGGTCTTATCAAACTGATGAATTTGTTTAGTTGGATGCTTTAAAAAAAAAAAATCGTTCAAAATCTAAAAAGTAATTTGTAACAAATGAGAAAAATAAAAGAGGTAAATTACATTGATACTTTCTGAGTTTCTATTTAATACAGATTTTCTTTCACGTTTGAAAAATTATATTTATTTTTCTATCAGATTAAAATTATATAGTTGTCTCTTAACTTTTGTATATATAAAATAATAAAGTAATATTGATATTTTGTTTACATTATTTTAAGAGAAATAATCGTCACCTTCTTTGGTTAAACTTGCACAATTTTTTTTTTTTCTATTTTTTTTACAATATTTGAAGCAATTTTTTTAATTTTATTTTTGAGAGTGTTTTGTTCAAGCAGATAAACAAGTTGCTGACAGAAGGAAACTAGTAAGCAAATGGCATTCCACGACTAAAGCGGAATTACATAGTACCTTTAAAATCTGAAGGGTGGCATCTTCTTAAATCCATTGCATGTTTGCTATGAGATGATGATTAATTTAGATATGCCACTTCCCACAAGGTAATTGTTGGATTTTTTGACTTTCAAAGGTTATTTTTGTAATTGCGAGCGTGTCAATAAGGATTGAAAAATCCTTACAGATTAAATTCAAGCTAATTATCAAGCGATTGCGTTGACGGTTCGTTTGCCTCAACGAAGAGGACTTCAAATTTGCCAAGTGTAGAGAAAAGAAAAAATAAAAGAAGAAAGAGGGACGGAGAAAGACGATTGAGTGAACAATCAAAGTAATAATTACTTACATCTACTCCTATGCTTCGAAAAGGAAGTGCATAAAATGTTTCGAAAAGGAAATACTGAAAATAAATGCTTCGAAATATAAATCTATGTTAAACTACTCCTTAGATAAGGAAAATGACAAGAAATATTAAAATCAATTGTCTTTGATTATGAATTCTGGTCTTTTACAATGTAGCCATTAATGGCTATTTATAGAAGAAAAAATACAGCAATAACTACTTAGTAACTACCTATTTATTGTATGTCATATATATCAATATTTATATATTTCATCCAAAGATAGTTTAAAAAAAATGCAACATAATATTAATTCCTAAAATCTAAAGGAGGCGGGAGTAATAGCTGTAAATCTACAATTTTTTTTCTTTTGTCATTGGCTCCCAAGTTATTTTCTGCATACTTTAGTGTGTGTTCAAGCGATGGACACGTGTGTCCCTAAGTTTCGAATCATGTCCGTCTCTAAAATATAAAAATAAATATAAGACATGTTTGGGTGTGTGCTCAACACAAGTCAAGAAGTGTCTGGATAGTGTTGGTGTCCAACGTGGAGATTATTTTCTTTAAGGTGTTTGGTTTGTTATGCTTCTCCCATGGCGATGGAGCAATGGTTTTCCACTCAACCCACTTGTCACCCCATGCATCCCATAGCTTTCCCAGTAGTTTATAAACCCAAATATGAATGCTGTGTCTACACCGTGGAGACAGAATAAGAAAAAGTTACCTAAACCTCTTCCAAAAACTAGAAATGAATAAATGCATACCTGAAGCTTCTCAAATGCTGATTTCGCCATAGATTCTTCAAGGGACTCAGTGAGCAACTCATCTTGAAACTGTATGTAAAATGTTACAGTGAGAAACTGAGAACAACTTTCATATACAATAAAATAAAATTACCATACATACATTGACTCCATCCATCACTGATGCCTTTATGAAATCAATCTGGTTCTCAAACACAAACCTATACAAGAAAAAATACAAGAACCGCAAAATATCATGTCATCATGCATAGAAAAAACATTATGCATACAACAGATGAAGCAAATACACATGAACAGTGGCTTTTTCATTATTTTTGACCATGTTTGTTTTAAAAACATGACTTTTGCCGAATAGGTTTTCATAATTATTTGGCAAAGTGGGTTGTTTTTCCATGTTAGCCATTAATGGCTTATGAAAATCACCCATAGATATGTTATTTTCATGACTTGACTCTCTAAAATTTGGTTTTTGGACCCCCCGAGTCATACCTGGAACATCATTCTTAGCCAAATTTGGCTCAATAACATGCTCTTTCGTTGTGTTAATTTCATAATTTGGTTCTTTTAAAACGGACTCTTGAACCTCTCGAGCCATTAATGAAATCAACTCTTTGCTTTTGCTATTTTTAACCATGGAAAAATTCTGAAAAAATTCACCAATTCCGGCCATTAAAGCCTCAGTTAAAGACTTGGTAGTGAGAGTTGATAACTCATCATTCCATTGGCGAATTTCCATATCAAGTTGATGAATTTCTCCAATTAAATGGTATCTTTTTTCTTCCACCAAATAATATTGTAAGGGATGAAAGTTTATTTTATTAAGAAAATGGATCTCTTCTTGAAGATCCAAAATTTATCTTTCACGCCAATATATTTCATATTGACAAGTTCGAATGGCGAAATCCAAATAGTTTGTCATTTCTTACACTTGGCTGTCCCACCGGGCGTGCAAAAAATATATGTTGACTTTTTTGGCTTTCGAAGATTATTTTTGTAATTGCGAGCGTGCCAGCAAGGATTGAAAAATCCTTACAGATTAAATTCAAGCTAATTATCAAGCGATTGCGTTGACGGTTCGTTTGCCTCAACGAAAAGGACTTCAAATTTGCCAAGTGTAAAGAAAAAAAAAAGTAAAAGAAGAAAGAGAGAGACGGAGAAAGACGATTGAGTGAACAATCAAAGTAATAATTACTTACCTCTACTCCTATGCTTTGAAAAGGAAGTGCATAAGATGCTTCGAAAAGGAAATACTGAAAATAAATGCTTTGAAATATAAATCTATGTTAAACTACTCCTAAGATAAAGAAAATGACAAGAAATATTGAAATCAATTGTTTTTGATTATGAATTCTGGCCTTTTACAATGTAGTCATTAATGGCTATTTATAGAAGAAAAAATATAGCAATAACTACTTAGTAACTACCCATTTCTTCCATCTTCATTCTTGTCTTGCCATGTGTCCTTCCACTCATCCACTTTGTCCTTCATATTCTCCATTATCTCTATAACTTCTTTTAATTTCTAAATGAATAAGAGAATGCCACGTGTCCTGCAATTATATAAATAATAAATAATAATAAAAATTGCAGATTTATGATGTTAACAGTAATACAACTTCACAGAGCAATTTTAGAACTTTGTTTTGTTCTTGTTCTTTTTTTACTTGCAATATTTGTCAAAAAACACAAATCTGAAAATCAAATATTGTTGCTTATCATAGATTACTTTTGTTGCCAGATTAGGAGGGAAAGCTCTTATGGAGAGAGTGTGTGCTGTAACAACGTAAGAGCTTTGTTTGATGAGCTTTCAACTCCACACTCGGTTGTGGACTTGACCAAGCTTGTTTCAGCTTCTCTTCTCAATCTATTCAATTATCGTTTCAAGTTTTTCAAACCCTTTAATAAGTTTAAGAGGTTTTTGGGTTTTTGGATCTTTTTGATATTTTTTTGTCATGTATTTCACTCTTATTTTGTTTGATCTTGTGGATCAGATTGGCTAAATTTGATAGAAAGAATTGGAGATCTTCATACAATGCTCTAATTGTTCTAAAACACTTGTTGACCCATGAACCAAAGAGTGTATCAGAGGACTTTCAAACTGATAGAGATGTTATCTCAGAGATTGGAAGTTTCAACATATTTCAGATTACACTGGCCGATCGACCGATTATTTAATGAAAAGCTACATCTCTCTGTTAAAACAGGTGATATCAAAAAAAGTTTTTACTCAAATTTGATAAAAAAAAAATACATGTTTGTCTTTATTTTTAAGTTAGTTTCCTTACAATTGTAAACATACAAATATATATATATATATATATATACACGAACAACTATTAAAAATATAAAAATAATAAAATTTAATATAAAGGAATGAATAAAAATAAATGAGAGAGAATATAGTATATTTAACTTTTTTATACTGAATATGTACAAGTTTTTTAATATTTGGACCCGTGACTATGAATTGGGACCAAATGCCTTTTCCTTTTTTGTCTTTTTATTTATTTATTTTGGACTCTTTATAACCTACACTAGCCTAATATAAGAGGGAAAAATTATTTATTTTTCCTTTTTTTATATATGTATATATATTTTTTATTGCTTTGGGGGAATGGCTTTCCTTGATATAGTTGAATTTGATTTGGTTTGGTTAGTCCTTAAATTATTCAATTTAAAAAAAAAATAAACACTATAAAATGAAAATATTACAAGTATTGAATATATCTAATTATTTTCATTAATTACAAACATAAAATGATCTACAAAATAAATTATTTAAATTATTAAAACATAATTTGTAATCTCATAAGTCCATACAACACTCTTCAATCCAATTTTTTGACTGGAGAGGAGCCCTATTCATATGTATATATATATATATATATATGTGTGTGTGGCTTATGTCCATTCGGCATCCAACAAAAAACAATTAGTTGACATACACTATATAATCAATTAAAACATCTTTTTAGATCTATCACATTTTAAATAGAGTTTATTATACCGTTTAATTATCAGTAGTAGCCATGGTAGGTTACTTTGGAGGTTTTGTAATCACATGCACCTTAGAA